CCTGACCTCAGGTGATCCACCCGCCTTGGCCTCCCAAAGTGCTGGGATTACAGGTGTGAGCTACCGTGCCCGGCCTGATTTTAATGAAGAAGAGATTGCATTTGAAACCATTTTGACCAACAGAAGAGATAATCAAGTATTGCTGGAAATAAAATGTTTTCTGCCAGTTGCTTCTGGTTTTAGCAATCTTGAGTAGAGATACCATTGAAAAAGAAATCTGATAGGAAGAATTCAAGGCAAAGAGACCATTGTGGTTGAAGAGGCCTATCGTTCTAGACAGAGATGGGAAATGGCATTGCCAAATATCTAAGTTAATCTAGACAGCAACAATGGTCAGGAGCCTTTGTTCTGCAGCCTCCACTGCCCAGTTTCAAGCCACACCTGCTATATCATATTAACCTTGTCCACCTTTACCCTGCATGACACTACTATCATTAGGTTCCTTCTCCCTTCAGGTAAGAAATCATTAAAAAAAATTTTTTTTTTGGTGTTCCCCCAGACTTTGTCCAAGCTTAGGTGTATTATTTAGTTGGTCTGAGGAAATTGTACCAAGTTTGAGTTTGTAATTTTGGGCAGAGAGGTGTTTACTCCATGGCAGAACAGAAACCCACACCTGAATCTCCCTGGTTCAAATATGAAGCCACACTTTGCATGAGTAAGTACTTCCGTGGTTCAGATCCAGCTCTCACTGCCTCTGTGGGAGCTAGCTCTCATGTGAGTGGTCTGAGGTTTCCTTCTCTAACATGAGTGGTGCTTCCTGTAGATGAGGGACTAAACATCTCAAATCAGGGTGTATCACATTTTCTATGAAGGTGATATTCAGCGAAGAAGACACCAGTCCACATAAATTCTATTTGCAGGAGACTTGTTTTTTGATTTATTATCGTCATCCTCAGAGAATAGCTTTCAACAGCAGGTTTGTGTATAGTTTGGTCTGTGAGTCCGTTTCAGTGAACATTTTCTAAACACTGTCATTGGGTTCACTGTTTTGACAGGTCCAGTAGAGAAAATGGTCCTTTCAAGGAGCAACGTCTAGTTTATTTATCCTGTCACTTTACTGTAGTTTAGATACATTTGCTGCAAGTTGCTTGGGTTTGTGTATCTCAGTCACTTACTTCCTTTTTCAAAAGCACCAGAGCAGTAGATGGTGCAATTGCTGCTTAGTTAATTTTTTTGTGCACTTTATTCCCCCAATTAAGAGTGTGTAAATTCACTGATTCAGATGCTACATAACAATAAACCTGAAAATAGTAATATCAACATTTATCAATGTTTACTTGGTAAATGTCAAATTTATCATGACCTTAAATATTTTAAAAATTAAATATTACTGCAAATAGAGTCACAAAAAGTGACTGAGCATTTTGGGTTGGATTTTCAAAGTCTTAATGGAATGAATAAGTCTGGTTTCTTAGCACTAATCTCTCAAAAAATCAAGGTGTTTGGGAAAGAGCCAATATTATAATGAGCTTGAAGAATATTATCAAATTAGTCCTGGTTGATGCAGTGACTGTCCTAACTTGTGAAGCCATCAGTCTCCATTTGAAGATGTCAACATCAAAAGAGAAACAGTGTCCACAGTGCTCCAGGCAGTGAAGAGGAAACCAAAATGAAAAAGCCTCACCCCCATGAGCTTCTAATTACAGGGAAATAATAGGTAGGAGATTGTAAGGGACAAATGAACAGAAATAACAAGATAATATTGAGCAAGAAGAAATTTTAGAATGAGCTCAGGAAAGTAATTCCATCAAACTTCTCAGTATAATCACTGAGCCATTATACTGCATAATATTGTTGGGGCTATTAGTATTAATAATAGTAATCATCATTATTACAAATGCAGTGGAGAGAACAATTTTGCCACTGTAGAAAGATAGTACAGATAGACTTCAAGAGAAATGTCCCTTCAGTCATATGATGCCATGTACAATCTGAATTCTAAGAAAAAAAGGTCCTAACCATTTCATTATCAAAAAAATACTGCCTGACCACATTCAAGGGAAGTGTCTTCTTTACAACCGTACTCTGTTAATTATAGAATATTTTTTTTTTTTTTTTTAGTTCGGGTCTCGTTCTGTCTGCTATGGCACAATCATGGCTCATTGCAGCCTCTACCTCATGGGCTCAAGCGATCCTCCTATCTCAGCCTCCCGAGTAGCTGGGACTACAGGTGAGCCCCACCCCACCTGGCTAGTTTTTGTTGTTGTTGCAGGTCTTGCTGTGTTGCGTAGGCTGACCTTGAACTCCTGAGCTCAAGCAATCTCTCGCCTTGGCCTCCCAAAGTGTTGTGATTATAGGAGTGAGCCCGGCAGAGAAGATGATTCTTAATATAACTGACTCAGCTGAAAAAAACACCAGAACCAACAAGGGTCGTTTTACTGCTTGTTAGTTAATAGCACATTTATCCATCTTACTATTTTCTTTCTCCTTTCAGAAGTAACCCACAAAATAAGTTTATCTTGTTTTTAACTTTGAGCCTTATAAGAAATTACCAAACTGTTAAGGATTTTTATGTTTAAATTCATGAAAGATATTGGTCTGTAGATTTCTTTTCCTTTCTTCTTTATTTTTAAATACTGTCTATGTCATATTTTAGCGTCAAGGTAATACTGGGCTCATAAAATGAGTTGGGAAGTACTTCCGCTGTTTCTATTTTCTGGAAGAGTTTATTTAAAATTAGTGCTAATTTTTTTTAGATGTTTGGATAAATTCACCTGTGAAAACATCTGTGACTGAAGATTTATTTTTCACGAGCTTTTAAACTATGAATTTAATTTCTCTAATGGTTATAGCTACTCAGATTGTCTATTTCGTCTTAGTTGAGAGTGGGTAGTTTTAGGTTTTTAAAAAATTGACCCACTTCTTTAAGTGATCAAATATATAAGCATAAAGTTGTTTGTAGCATTCTTTTGTTAACTTTTTAATAGCTATAAGATCTGTAGTGATATCTCCTATTTCATTTTTGATTTTGGTGATTTATGTCTTCTTTTTTATTTTGGTCAGTCTTGCTAGAGGTTTATCAATTTTATTAGTTTTTTTCAAAGAACTAGCTTTTGTTTTAATTGATTTATCTCTGTTGTTTTCCTGTTTCTACTGCATTGACTTCTGTTTTTACTTTGTTTTCCTTCTTCTGCTTACTTTGGATTTATTTTTATCTTTTTTTTAAAGTTTCTCAAGTTATGAACTTAAATTATTGATTTGAATCCTTTCCTCATTTCTAATTAAGCATTTACTGCTATAAATTCCTTCTCAGGACTGCGTTAGTTGCATCCCACATGTATTGATATGTTGTATTTCATTTCACTCAGTTCTATGTATTTTCTTTCCTTTGAGAATTCCCCATTGACCCATGGATTAGTTAAAAGTATATTATTTAATTTCCATATGTTTAGAGATTTTTCTATCATTTTTCTGTTATTAATGTCTAGTTTAATTCATTATGGTCAGAGAACATACTCTGTATGATTTCAGTTCTTCTGTTGAGAGTTTTTTCTTTAATGGCCTATGATATGATCTATTGGAAATGTTCTATGTAGCCTGAAAAAAAACCTGTGTCTTCTGTTCTCATTTGGTGGGGGTGTTCCATATATGTCAATTAGAACCTGTTGTTTGATTGGTTTGTTTAGATCCCTCTTAATCCTTGCTGTTTCTTAGTCTGTCACTTCCCAAGAGAGGGTAGAAAAACATTTTGAACAGAAAACCTAGGCTAGTTGTTTACTTTCTTTCACATATTCGTTTACTAATTCAATATGCACAGAACATTAGGAAAAATATTTAGCATTTTATGAAAAAATAAACAATGATTACTGAAACAGTTTCCACCTTTTTAATTTCAAAGAAATCTAAAAGTGAATGCTTCAAAACCTAGAAGCTGTTTTTCCAACCTAAACAAGCCTTCTTTCCTCATTAAATCTTAAAGAGACCCTTCATATTTTGCTAAGTTTGCACCAGTTTCATATCTGATGATCAAACATTTTATTGTACCTAAATTCACTTTGTAAAGTAATCCATGCTGTTGTTTTCTACTAAGATTTCTCTGTGTGAGGTAAGGATTAGTCTTGACTTACATGAATTTTGAATAATGCAAAATCTTCACAACTACATGCCTTCCATAGTGTGACCGCTGTATAATAAAAAGCTAGTCAAGTGAAAAGAATATGGCCTTAGAGTGAAAAGGCCTAACCTGATGAAAGAATCTTCAGATTGTGGAAGTATGTGTTATGAGCAAAAAAAAGAAAAGTAAATTTATTTGGCTATTTCATAGTGATTCTGCATAATAAGTAGAGTAATGAGGAAAAATGTTATAGCAACCTGAGGAAAACACATACATTAAGAAGAAATGAAATTTAGACTCAAACAGCACATGACTCAATAGCAACAACAAAAACCAGATGGTAATAGTCTATTATCTTCAAATTGCTAAGAGAAAATAAATGTCAATCTAAAATTTCATATCAAGCTAAACTATGATTTAAATGTAAGGACAAAATGAATACTTTTCAGCTAATAAAAACTGAGCTTACCATTTTTTATCACTCAGTTGTTGCTGGGTAATCAACAAAGGAATATAATTAAGTAAACAAGAAACAGGACACAAAATGAATATGGGGATATAAGAAGCAACATTAAGCAAAAAAACTGGATAACATGTGGGTATATCCAATGAATTATTAACTACAAACTGATTTAAACGATTAATTTTGAGATGTTTAAAGGGAAAATAGAACCACAAAAAGACTATAGTGTGGAATATTGGCAAGCATGGGAGAAACTGGAATTTAAAAATAAGAATGGTATGTAATTTAGTATGAGGGACAAGATTTCATTAACATTTCATTTACCTGTTATCATGTAGAAATAGATCCCAAGTATCAGAGGCTTAAAACAACAACCACTTTATTGGCCCACAATTCTGTGGGTAAATGGTTTCTTTTCACTCCCTTAATGCTTGTATTAATTACTTTATTACTAGTTTTAATTTACTTGTATTAATTAATTACCTGTTTACTAGTATAGAGATGGTTCAAACAGCTAGAAGCTGACTGGAACACACAACTGGGACCATGTGCTGGGACCTCAGTTCTCATTGTCAGCTCAATTCCTCAGTTCTCTTCCATGTGGTCTAAAGGCTTCTCCCTCTCCGTGTGGTTTTTCCATACAGTCTCTCCATGTGGCTCTCCAGCAAGTTAGCCCATGGCACCTAAGAGCGCAAAAGCAGAAGCCATTAGGCCTTTTAAAATGTTATATTCAGATCTGATGTCACTTCTGCCACATACTATTGGTTAAAGACAAGCCCAGATTCAAGAGGAGCAGACTACACAAGCACCTGAATACTGAGAGACACATTTCAATGTAACAGAATATTACAATTAACTTTAGAGTTTTTTTATATCAGTTATGCATGCTAAAAATTTAAGGTAACTAGTAAAGTAATTAAAATAAAGTGTTGAGGGCCCACCCAAGAAAACTCAATAAATCGAATACACTAGAGAAAACTGATGGTAATAGGGAAAAGTAAAAACAAAGCATAGTAAATGCAAAACACAATAAAAGATAGCAGACATCAAACTCAACATGTCAGAACTTACAATAAATATAAATGGGTTAAACCAGCCTTTTTTTTTTTTTTTTTTTTTTTTTTTTGGAAACAGTCTCACTCTGTCGCCCAGGCTGGAGTGCAATGGCGCAATCTCGGCTCATTGCAACTTCCGCCTCCCGGATTCATGCCATTCTCCTGCCTCAGCCTCCCAGGTAGCTGGTATTACAGGAGCCTGCCACCACGCCTGGCTAATTTTCTTTTGTATTTTTAGTAGAGACGGGGTTTCACCATGATAGCCAGGATGGTCTCCATCTCCTGACCTCGTGATCCACCAGTCTTGGCCTCCCAAAGTGCTGGGATTATAGGCACAAGCCACCGCGCCCGGCCTAAACTAGCTTTTTAAAAATCAGAGATTCACTGAGAAAATGTTTAAATCTAGTCTATGCTTTGTGTAAGAAAATACTCAAATTATAATGACCCAGAAAGATTGAAAAAATAAAATAAAAAGAAAAATATATTAGGCAAATACTATAAATAATGAAGATGATGTAGTTAAAGTAATATCAGATAATAGATACTTTAAGAAAAACCTTGGTTTTAGTGATAAAGAGGATTAGGACTTAGTGACAGAAAAAAAAAGTTGATCAGAAACAATCTTGAACCCATATGCAATGAACAATATAGTCTTATGTATATATAAAGCAAAAACATAGGAGAAATTATCAAAATATCATTATAATGTGTGAAAGAGAAGACAGAAGACAGAAAAAATAAGTCAATATATAGAAAAGTTGAATACAATGATATTAACAAGTTTAATATAAGAATACATGAGGAACTGTTACCAACAATTAAAGTCCTGAGCACATATAGAGAATTTATTAAAATTGAGCACTCTTCTAGGCCACAAAGGAAATCTTAAAATACAAATTATCAATAGCATACATAATAAACTGGTCACAAGGCAATAAAATTAGAAACTGCAATTTCAAAGTAGCCTGAAAGAAACAATTACAATTAAATTTGAGATGTGTTTAAACCTGAATGACATTCTACGAGTATTATATTTTAAAACTTATGAATTACAGATAGTGATACAAGAGGAAAAATTATAGCTTTAAATGTCTACATTTTTAAGATAGAAAATAGATGAGTTAAATGTTCAATTAAAAGTTAGAAAAAAAGAACAGCGTAAACACCCCAAAATTAGAATTATATAAAGTTTAAGAAAGTCTAAATAATTCTCTGACAAGATTGATCAAGAAAAGAAGGCACAAATAAACACTATGAAAAATAAAAGAGTTTAACATAAAGATCATTAAAAGTTAACTAAATACCATGAACAACTTCATGATAAAAAAGGGCATTTTTGGTTTAATGTGAATTATGTAAATTGACTCAAGAAGAAATAAAAAACTTAAATAGGTCTATATCCAAGAGTAATATTTTAAAATATTGAACTGATACAGGATAGACAATGATGAAACCAAAGAACAACTAACAAATCCAAACAGACAATTGCTGAAAAAAATCTGGTATCAACTTATCATGGGTACTAGATGATTATCAACCCACTCATAACTTTCGGAAAAATTAATTCAAAGGTTTAAAAAATAGACATACCAAGAAAGCACTATGCCCAGAAGAGTCTACAAACAAGTTTTATCAAAACTTTAAGGGGCAGGTAACTCTTTTTAATACTAGAAATGTTTATAATAGAGGCCAGGTGCAGTGGCTCACGCCTGTAATCCCAACACTTTGGTAGGTCAAAACAGGCAGATCACCTGAGGTCAGGAGTTCAAGACCAGCCTGGCCAACACGGTGAAACCTCTCTACCAAAAATACAAAAATTAGGTGGGTATGGTGGTGCATGCCCGTAGTCCCAGCTACTTGGGAGGCTGAGGCAGGAGAACCGCTTGAACCCAGGAGGCAGAGTTTGCAGTTAGCTGAGATTGTGCCACTGCACCCCAGCCTGGGCAACAGAGTGAGCCTCCATCTCAAAAAAGAAAAAAGAAATAAATGTTTCTAATGGAAAAGAAGACTCATTTCCCCACTTAGACCAGGCAAGAAAATATAAAAAGGAAAATTGAATGTAAGCTTATGTATAAACATAGATGCAAATACTATTAAAAAAATTTTTAGCAAACTGAATTCAGCAATGTATGCAAAAATGTTATCATGACTTAGAAGCAGAGAGTAGAATGATGGTACTAGATCCTGGGAAGGATAGCAGGAAGAAGGGATGCCAGAGGTTGGTTAAGAAATCAAAAGTACAGTTAGATAGGAGAAATAAGTTCTAGCATATTCTATAGCACTATAGGATGACTATAGTCAACAATAATTTATTGTATAGTTTCAAACAGCTAGAAAAGAAGATTTTGAATGTTCCCAACATGAAGAAATAATAAATGTTTGAGGTAATGGAGATGATAATTACCTTGATTTGATCATCACACATTGTATGCATGTATCAAAATATCACTCTGTACCATAAATAAGTATAATTGTAATGAGTCAATTCAAAATAATAATTTAAAAAATTATCATAACTAACCAGTTTATCACAGGAATGTAAAGATAGTTTAAGGCATAAAAATCTATTAATATAATTTGCCATCTTAAAAAATTTTAAATATATGATCATCACAATATATGCCCAATAAAAGCATTTAATAAAATTCAACATTTATTCATGATGTTAAACATAAAGAATATTTAATTGAGGAACAGAAGGAAATTTTCTTAAACCATCAAGATCATTTATTAAAAACTTACTACAAATGTCACACTTGGTGGTGAAATGAACTTTAAGAAATTGTACTCTTAGTTCTTAGTGATGTAAAGGGAAAATGCAACATTCTTGCAAATGTGAATGAATTTTATTCCTCTGACATTTCTCTTCATATCTAAACATTTATTATTTGCTCCCATGATATACACCAAAAATATCTAAATTTCATAGCATAGAGTTCAAAGGTTTCTTGATTAATGCCACATAAAGTAGATAGCATCCCCACTGGTATCAGTTAAGATAGGTTCAGTAATAGTGTGCAGAGACCATAATAACAGTGACTTACAGAAGACAAAAGTATGGTATGGCAACTCTACAGTCATCAGAGACCCAGGCTCTTTTTCAATTGTTGCTCTATCATCTTCAATGTATGGCTTCCATCCTGTGGTCCAAGAAGCTACTTTAGGTCCAGCCATCACATGCACATTCTGGCCAAGCAGACAGAAAAAGTAAAAAAGAATGAATATCCCCTATCTCTAAGGACATTTTCAGCATGTTGTACACATCACCTTATGCTTATATCCCATTGTCCGGAACTTAGCTATATGCCATACCTAGCTGCAAGCGTTGCTGGAAATATAGTTTTTATTCCAAGTTGCTAGTACCCAGCTAAATTTGGGGGCTTCTATTGCGGGGAAAGAAAAGAACTGCTATTGTGAGAATAATCAATAGTTTCTGACACACCATCCTTCTCCCTTTCTTTTCTCCTCCAAATGGGAGAATACTAATTTGATTCCAGAATACTGACTGGGTCATGTTGTCACAGAATCCTTGGGATATCACTTCACCATCTAGAAACCTCTGTGGCATGGATGCCTTCTGCCTGACTATTGCTCATACCCACTGGGCTCATTCTGCCCACTTGGCCCAGCAGGCTGCACTCAGCTCACACTACTGGCCCAGATCCCACACCTGCCAAGTGCCAGCCAGGCACAGAGTGATGAGGGGTGTGTGGGTGGGTGAGTGCAGGGTCCAGACCCTGCACACAGCCAGGCACACTGGTAGGGCAGGCAGCTCCAGGTACAGGCATAGGTGCCAGCTCCATGCAAGGCTGCAGCTGGACCAAAGTTACTGCACGCAGCTTCCACTGTGGGCACCTGCATCTGGACAAGAGGAATGTGGTGGCACCTGGAAGTTTGCAGATGCCAAAACTGCAAAACCCCAAAGAGGTTGCCACAGTCTTGGTTCAGGGAGCCCCTAGGTCTGGGACGCCCAAAGGGCCATAGCTCTTCTCTCCTTGTCACCCACAACATGGTGAGAGGGTGGCTGGGGCATGTATTTCAGCCTGGTTTGTGTTACAGCTAGCTCTTTTAGTCCTGCCATCTGGCAGGTCCTGAGTTCTTGTCCCACGTGCAGGAAGAATGAGGTACACAAATAAGTGAATGGTGAGCAAGGCAGAAAGGAGCTTCATTGAGCAGCAGAACAGTTCTCAGGAGACCCTAAGTGAGTAACTCCTTTCTGCAGGCAGGTTGACCAGTGAGTGTCCAGCCCTCAGCAGAGAGGAGACCCAGAGTGGATAGCTCCTATCTGCAAGCAGGAAGGTTGTCCCATCATCAGCCTGAGTCTGGCTGAGTCTGGGGTTTTTATGGGCTTCAGAGGGGAGGGAGTGCATGCTGATTCATCTGTGAGTGGCCATGGATGGGCCAGGAAAAAGCGCCATAAATTCTCACCCCATTTGCAGAACTGGCAGCCTGGCCCCCCGGCTTCACGTCATCCCTGGCTTGAAGGTGGGGCTTCACTGGGGACATGTCCCTTTCCACCCAGAAGCCTGTCTGCCTCCTGCCACCATCAACCTGCCCTCTATGGCACCCATGGCACCCAAGCTATTTGTGCTCAGGGATGTCTGCAGGCCCCTGCAGAGTTGCCCTCAGCACCCCCTCATCCTCCCTCCAGTGCTCATATCCGAGCCCAAAGTCTGAAGGGAGCTGAAGTGGCAGGGGGCTGGCATGTCAGTGCTGCTCCAAGCATGTGCACACTTGGTCAGGTTGCAACAATGCTTGGGCTTGGCCTCAACTTTGCTCCAAAATTGGAACAGGCACTAGGAGCAGGGAGAGGCCAAGCAGTGGGAGCAGGCACTTTTAAGCCTGCAGGTGCAGGGGTGCTTCCTGGTTCCCCAAGAGCACAGGGATGTCTGGGTCCTCAGCCACAGCTAGGTGGCTGCCACTGTGCCCAGGAGGGCAGAGGTCTACCCCTCCAACTCAGAAGCTCCCACCTGTTCCCTGCTCCTCTCAACTTCATGGAGCCTGCAGCCCCCACTGCACCTTTCCCACTGCAGCTGGCATCATGACTGCTGCTGCCATTGATGTTTACTCTTGAACACAGCCACTGCATAATAAAAGGTCTCATGCACAGATGCATTGATATAACCCTTCTGGGATGCTCTGCTCCATTTCTTCCCTCCATGAAGCTGAACTGGTAAACTGATCAAGACTTAATCTGAGGGATGATCTAAGCATCTTTATTTCTGGTCTCTTTTTCTTGATTTATAATAGTCTGGTTGTTCTCACAGTAGCAGTTTGCTAGTGACTTGCATTGGGCATGCATGGGATGTGTATCTCATGCTTCCTTCTACTTTACCCAAAAGTCATGTCATAAGGGTCATGGGCTTGAGACCAGCTAACAAGTAAAATACAATGGATACGATCATTTTAGTTTTAAAGAAAAAGTACTTGGAATCAAAGTCAAAATCTCAAGGGACTGCTTGGTAATCAAAGATGGTAGCTAAATTGTTTTACATATAGAAGGAACCAAAGAGGCTGGAGGCTGTGAGGTGGAAGGATCAGAAGGAAAACCACCTGTAGTAGGATGGGGCAAGGAGAGACGAGAAATGACAGTGGGGATTTGCAGACTGTATTCTGTGCAAATACCTTGCCAACCTTCTCTTTTTTCTTATCTGTGAAATATTCAGTAAAGTGTACATGGTTCACTAAGGCATTATATGAGTAGATTCTTGATGGAATTCAAAGAAAAGGAGGAGACAGATGACAGTCTGGATTCTACCACTTGCAAGTTCAGAAACTCAAGACAAACTAACTTAAGGAAGAGAAAAGGAAAGTAAGTTGGCTTATAAAACAGGGAAGTCTGGGGATGAATTTAGATTTAGGCATAGTAAATAACATTGTTTTCTCTCTCATTTCCCTTCTCTCTCCTGCCATTCAATCTCTCTCTCTCTCTCTCTCTCTCTCTTTCTTTCTTTCTATCCATGGCTGCTTCTGTTTTCCTCATTCTGTTGGCCTCACTCTTTTCCTTTCCACTGAAGACAGGGTTCCTCCATGCAACCAGGGAAGGCACCCACTGGTAGCCCCAGATTCACATTCTCCCAGCTCAGCCATCGCAGCAGAAAAGCAATTCACTCACCACATTTGTGAATCAATTCAAAGGAAAGCTGTTCCTGCTGAATCATGTGGCCATTCTTAAACCAATCAGTATATCAAGCATATAATGAACCATGAGTGACCCAGTCTGGATCACATGACTGTCCTGTGGCCAGAAAGTGATTGACATCCTGTCAGTCCATTTGTGGTACTATAACAAAATACCTGAGACTGGGTAATTTTAGAAAGAACAGAAATTCACTTCTTACATCCCTAGAGACTGGCAAATCCAAAATCAGGGCACAAGCATCTGCAATCTGGTAAAGGCCTTCTTGCTGTGTCCTCCTATGGCAGACGATAGAAGGACAAAAGGGCTCAAACTCCTTCCATCGAGCCCTTTTACAATGGCATGAATCCATTCATGAGGGCAGAGCCTATATGACCTAAACACCTCCCAAAAGTCACCATCTTCCAACATTGGGGATTAAGTTTCCAACACATGCATTTGGGAGGACACATTCAGACCACAGCTCAACCCCATCCAGACCATATGGAGTTCGGAAAATGTTCCCCAAGACAAATGGGATACTGGGACCAAATGTGTTGGGCAGGAAACAAGAACAACAATAACAAGACCAAATAACCCAACAGCTTCCCCAGTCCACTATACTATGTTATGTTTTCTGTCTTTAAACTAAGATTAAATCACCACCCCAGAACTGGGCAATCCATATTCTCCTACCACTGTGAAAGTGTTGAATGGATGGTGTGAAGAAATAAAAATGGGCCTAACAAGGACTGAGAATATCATTTTTGAGTCAGAAGAAAATTATGGAAAAAACTGGGTTTGGCTTGGCAGCTTTTGCAGGGATGCCAAGTTCATGACAGAATGGATTCCTAGGAATAAGATTAAGATGTCAAAGTATGTTCATATTAAATATTGACAGATTTTACCAAACTGCACTACAAAGAAGGGATTTCAGTGTACACTCCCACCAGCAATGCCTGTTTCCCACACCCTCACCAAGACTTTATATTATAGAACTATTTAACCTCTTTCCTCTGAATAGTTTATATGATGGCTTTGTAAGGCAGGGTAGCTTGCAATTAATCGTGAGAGAAAATACACGTTTTTTTTCCCCTAGATTTCTTAGCTGAGGATGAATTATTTCTTTTGTGAATGTGATAATCTATGCCTATAATGTCTATTTTATTTCCTTTTTTAAAATGAAAGCGTGTTTTAAAATAGAGTTAGTAATGTGCATTTACTCAATATAGAGAACATGTGTGTTTCTTAGACCAATTCCATCAGTGTAGAATGTGATTTCATTTCAGGAGTTTAAGTGAACAGACTGAGACAAATATTAAAAAATATAAAAAATTAAAATGCCTGAGAGATAAAACAGTTTTCATAGGAAAGAGAAAATCTTCTGGAGAAATAAGCTAATTTTAAATTAAACAGACTGCATTCCCAAATTCACGTGGTGTATTTATGAAGCACTGTTGGAGAGAATCTGTGCTTCATGACCTGACACTGCTGAATGGCACAATCCTCCCACGAACACCAGGGCTGGCCTATACCTGTGGTTTTGCCCCCAAAAGGCAAGGGCAAAGGTTACACTCAGCCAGAGTCTTAAATGCCTGGCTAAAAAATGTTTGAAACAAAAAAGCAAATATGAGTAGGTTTTCATTTATTCTTTTTCCAAAATGCCAAAAGCAGATATTTATTTATTTATTTGAGATAGGGTTTGTTTTGTCACCCAGGCTGAAGGGCAGTGGGAGGATCATAGCTCACTGCAGCCTTAAACTCTTGGGCTCAGGTGACTCCCTGACCTCCACCTCCCCAGTAGCTAGGACTACAGATGTGCACCACCACACCCAGTTATGACCAGGCCCATTCCAGAAATTATAAGAACACTCCAAGGTGCTAGAGATGGGGGTCTCACTATGTTGCCCAGATGGTCTCGAACTCCTGGCCTCACTGGATTGCCAAAGTGCTGGGATTATGGGCAGGAGTCACTGCGCTTAGCCTTAATTTTTTTTTTTTTTTTTCTTTGAGACAGAGTCTTGCTCTGTCGTTCAGGCTGGAGTGCAGTGGCATAATCTCGGCTCACTTCAACCTTCACCTCCCAGGTTCAAGCAATTCTCCTGCCTCAGCCTCCCTAGCAGCTGGGATTACAGGTACACACTACCATGCCCGGCTAATTTTTTTGTATTTTAATAGAGACGCGTTTTCTCCGTGTTGGCCAACCTGGTCTCGAACTCCTGGCCTCAAGCAATCCACCTGCCTCAGCCTCCCAAAGTGCTGGGATTACAAGCATGAGCACCCACACCCAGCCTGGCCTTAATTTTTTAAATAAGAGGTTGTATATGTGTTTTACCTACTGGATTTAAATAGAAAATTTCTATTAAGACTAGTTATATATTAAGATAGAATTAGCCATGTAAGCCTTCTGATATTGTAGCAACAAACACAGATGAAATGAAAGGATGCAATTTATACATTCTCATGAAATGGTCACTTGAGTTCCATTGAAATTTGCATTCATAGCCTAAATGTAGTAAATTGAGATAATATGGATAATCTCAGTCAAAACTCGTTTATCTCATCATTATCTAACTATAGCAGGTCCAAGTTATGCCATGTGACTCAGCTCTTCATTTTCTAAAACTTTAAAGTTTTAAATCCACAGGAAGTTTCATCCATTTTAAAAATATACTATAAAAACATGCTGGATTCAGACAGACCTGGGCTTGGTACTCAGTTCATCTTGAACAAGTTACTCAACCTCTTTAAGTCCCTCTTTTATAAAATGAGGACAGTGACACAGTGCTCATCTCATGGAGTTATTGTGAGGCTTAAAATGGGTCATATGTAAGGGCTTAGAGCAATGCCTACACATAATATGCATGCTCCAATATTGTCATTATCACTATGGTTAATGGCACATGGTACCTAGTACATAGCGCTCAATAAATGTTAGTTCCTTTTCTCCTTAACAGAAGCTCTTGTCGCCATGGTTCTGCATATCAAATTACTTGCCATATACATGTCTTACCACTAATTTATACCCTAAAGCCAAATCAGTTGAGGGTAAAGGAGATACACTGAGACAGGAGTTTGCGGGACAATGCTAAAAACATCAACTTTGTATCTAAAAAATAGTTTTGATCATATTCTGTGAACAGAAGAGAATTATATGACTTAGTGGTGTCAGCTTTCTAGCATTATCTTCAAAACACAATTCTCCATTTCACGGTGGATGCATTCATAGGGATCCATAGGCCTGTATCCTCTGATGAGCCTAGAAAGCATCAGAATAATCCTCTTCAAGTCCCAAACACTGAAAGAAAAAGGGAGGGGACCAGCAGGCTTCCTGAGGATTGTCTCTTTGGGGCAGAAAATCCTCTGAGCTTTTTGGAAGATGTGGGAGACATATCTGATCCATGAGGTGGTTCAAGTGGTCCTAGTGGGGAAGGAAAGGGAACAGGGAACTAGGAAGACTGGTTAAATGAGGGCCTGGATATTCCCATGAATGAAGTAGGTGGCAGTGCTGGGTCATAGGTGACGAGGAAAGACAGACTGCTATGGAAAATGCTGAGATACAGGGGTGTGCTGGGAAAGCATTCTAGGACATTGAAACCCCTAGTGAGCCAAGGAAAAGCTAAATCCTAATCGAAGAGAAGTCCGAAAGAAAGACCTGTCAATCTTGTGGAAAGAGATCAGAAATAGAAGTGGGTTGAGGTGAAAAGTAAATAGAAGAGAGCATGGGGCATAGCCACAGAGCCCGGAGCATTGCATTGCGTCTTCCCGGTTTCTCAATAGTGTAGGTCCTGCCTACTTGGCAGCCCTGTTGTAAACTATTGACTGATAATCGCCTCCAAATTTGCCTGTCTTACTCTTCATTTCTCCTTCTACAAATGACTTGAGAAGTCCCCTGGGAATAGAATCAACAGCCGTTTGGGTGGTGCTGTTGGGACAGGGTTTCAGTCCCACGGGCCATACCCCAGGCTGCATAGCTCCAGGGGATAGGGTCAGAAATTTTCTATAGACCTCTCTCTCAATTTTAATTTTGGAAATCCTAAAGCTGAGTTTACCTCAAACCCATCACAAGGGTAATTATCTCAAAGTACAAAAAAATTTAAAATGTTCATGTTGTTTCTTATTCCACTGCCACGTATATGAGATCATCAGTTTAGACTATACTACTGAGCTTTAGAAACATTATACCAGGTCTTGCAAAATGAGACGATACATCCGTTTCCAAGGTTTCTCTAGTGACTTGTGTCTGAGGCCCCAAACCCTAGCTAGGAACTAGCATACCAGATAGGAATCTCAGGAGAGAGGATTAAATGGACACTGGTTCTAAATAATACAGACTCAATACCGTTTCTTCTAGGTGGGGCTCTTAAACTTTCTCACTGACCCATGCATTGTGATTATTTCACAGCTGGGATGGCATTCATGAGCCAAAGCTGACGTGAGATTCTGGATTTTGAACAGCTTGGTGGGGAGACAGCCCCAAACTTCCTTCCAGGTTGCAGATTTGCTACAGTATCTCCAGACCCACGTTGACTCAGACTGGAATGGCAATATCAGGTTTGAGCTTCTGCTGTTCCACAGAAAACTTAGGAAGGACTCAACTGACCTCCAACTAGATTTCAGAACAGTCTGTTCCCTAAAGTGAAATTTGGGTGAAGAGCCAGTTTTGTAGGAAGGCTGAAAATGATCAGGCCCATTCCAGAAGTTACAAGAACACTCCAAGGTGAGGGTGTGAGGAACACCACCCCACTGAAGACCCTAAAAGGAGAACAGAGAGAGGATATCAAGGCTCCAGTATGGACCTGGGATTGATGTTTTTGTACTGGGGTCAGGATCACATCTTTATCTGCATGTATGGGGAGGTGATTCCTACTGTCAGTCATCAAGTGAAGAGGTGGATCTGTCCAACCAAAACACAATCTGCAGATGTCTTGGCTTAGTTTTACAAGTTCCATGCTGGCTGCCAGGAGCCAGCTTTTCCTCCTTTAGAGCTCTGACCCAAGGATGGAGAGAAAAATCTTGTTTTCAGTTTAACCCTTCTGAAGACTCCAATGATGCTAAGCGAAAACAAGAGAGAAACGACCAAAGAGACTATACAATGTAAGTATTTGCCTAAATCCTGCTTTCTCCTCTCCTCTCCATCTCAAAACCACCACTCAAATTCCTCTGGATTCCTTCAACCATGTCTATTTGTTTCCCTACATCCAACTTGTCCCCTTCATGTCATCCTCCAGAGCATATCTGCTCTGTTTAATATTTATCAACACCCTTGAGGAACTGCCTTTCTAGATTCATCTCCAGCCTTGGCTCCGCACGTTTCTTTCTGGCATTTTTGACTTGACTTTATGAGATCCAGAGAGTAAGTTTATAGCTTACGTTGAATTTGTCACAACAGCTTTCATAATGCAGGGCACGCAGCACTGAGCCTATTTCCTTTGTCTACTGTGATAGCCTGGCCTTGACCCCCTGTGCAGGACCAGCCATTTGAAGAGTTACTAACAAAAGAAAGAAGACCTTTTTTCAATTTTATTCTGGAAGCCTAGAGATTTTTTTAAAATATCCTTTTGGTTTTAAGAATATGCAGTGTCTTAGGAGAATTAAATGGATCCAAGAAATTGAAATTTCTTAAAGGTAGGCTAAAGGGAGACTGCTTATCATTTTTACCACTAAGTGAAAAATGTACTAATTTCATTTTTCTAGTGAGTAGAAAATGTCTCTCCATAAAACTCATATTTTTCTGAAAGTATTTTTTCCGACAAGATGACTGTGTTCCACTGGACTAGAAAGCATTATTAAGTATAACAATAAACTACACAAAGAAAAAAATCACAAAAATTTTCAGATCAGGAAATGCTTAAATGTTTCCAAAAATATTTGTCAGTAAATGTTATTCTAGAATTAAAACATTTCCTGTTGATGATCATGCCATGGAAAAAATCATGTAATGCCAGTTATGAGATCTTATATATTTGGGAAAAAAAACCATTATAAGTAACATGAGATAAATAGGAATCATACTTTTTAAAAAAGATTATTATTCATGTAAAAACTTAAACCTTAAACAATTATAAAAGTACAAGAGAGAAATAAATTAGTCAATATTTCAACTCTCAGAAATGATCACTCAGTATTTAAGTATTTCCAAGCAGGTCTCAGTGTGAATAGACACACTTGTGTTCAATTTTACATATATAGTTTTTATGACTTGTATTTCTATCAGCAACACATCCTAGACAGCTTTCCCTGTCAAAAACTCTGCAGTATTAGTGTTCACAATTGTGCATTTGTGTCACATGTATCCATTGGGATGTTCCAATCAGCAGCACCTCTCCAAACAAGTCCTCATGTGACAACATAAAAAAAGCAGGAAGGGAAGGAGGTGGCAGCTGGGTAGGTAGGTGGGCGTGTGTTTTCAGAAGCTTCCTAGTGGACTTCCTTGTATGAAATTGAAGCATGATATTTACCTGACCCCTTCATGGGATTTGCAAAGGGGCTGTCTTGTTTACTCAGTCCACAAGCTCTCAACCCCTTGAGGGAGGCAGCATGCGAGCAAACGGGACAGGAACTGGAGTGCACGGGTGCTGGAACTAGCCGGCTGCTTCTGTGCCAGCAGGAGTGAACTCCACTCACCTGGATTTGCTGCACTCCACTCCTCATGGGAGGCAGCACATAGGTGAGCAGGAGCCAGGGTGAGTGCTTTTTGGTGCTGGCCGGAGTGAACTCTGTGCAGGCCCTGTGGCAGCATCTGGGGGGCTGGTGGGGGTGCCTGCAACCCCTGAAACCCCAGAGGCAGTGCTACAGTGCCCTTTTAGCTTTGCCTGCTATACACAGACAACTTGAGTGTTAACAGTTCAGTGGGCCCTCTGCCTTTTCATATGAGGCGACTGCCTTCTGCCAGTGAGGGCAAAGGGCAAGTGTGACAGCTTTTTTGTATCCTCACTCATGGCTCCTGAGCTCTAGTCCAGCATCCAGGAGAAATTAGGTCTCATGAATTAATTGAAGGATGGTAAATGCATGGATTTTATTGACAATGAAAGTGATCATCACCAAGAGAGGGAGCTGAAAAGGTGACAAGACACGAAGGTAATCTTCCCCTGAAGTCTGGCAGTCTCCAGTCAGATTCTTCTCCAAAGTTACACCATCAAGCTGTCCTTCTGAAGTCAGGCCACTTCTCTCTGATGTCCAGTCATAGTCCCTGACATTCAGCTGCTTCTCCTCTCTCTGCCAGCTGAGCCTAGGGTTTTTATAGGCACAGGATGGGGGGCAGGGTGGGGCCATAGATGCTTTGGAAAAGGCAATATTCGAGCAGGGAAACAGTGGTGTAAGTTCTAACTTTGGGCTGCAGTCTCAGGCTTTTCAGCTTGAGATGGGGCTTCACCAGGGACCTGCCCTTCTTTGCCTAGAATTTCTCTGTCCCCGTCCCTATCAAAATGTCTATGGCTAGGACCAGTCACATGGCCACCCCAGACACTGTGAAGTGAGAATGAATTGATATGACTGTCTCAGACAAGCCAGACTTACTCCTCTGTGATTGTCACAAAAAGCAGAGTCCTGTGGGCAATAAAATAAGCTTAAATTCATGAATTCACAACCAAACCAACAAACAAACTCAATTAGTGGCCATTGCAGACTGCTAATGTCCAACCCATTATTATAAAATTATTACAAAAACTGACAAATTAGGAGACAGAATCAAATGCTTATCATGCTTTTCCTATGTCATTAGGAAATCAAATCATTGAGGAAGGTTTCCCTTTATAAAAGAATGTCAGCTAATAAATGAAGATGAAAGTGATAGAGTTAGGACCATTTCCAATATCTGCTGAGTTAATGGATCTAGGTATTGAGCACTAACAACTACCAATATCACAGAAAGAAACAACCCAACATTATATGCCTCCTGGTGGAAGGACACAACACCATCTAGGAATTCATCTTGCCAAAAAAATAGAACCTGAATCTAACCAAGACTCTAGATCCAATCACACCAATTTGAGGGAACTATGAAGGGTACATTCAAGGAAATCAGATTTTGGAAAACTCAGTGATTGGCACAATTGTAGGCTACAGTTTGTTTACACCTCTACTTGTTTTTTTTTTCTTTTTTTAAATTTATTTTTTATTATTATACTTTAAGTTTTGGGGTACATGTGCACAACGTGCAGGTTTGTTACATAGGTATATATGTGCCATGTTGGTTTGCTGCACCCGTCAACTTGTCATTTACATTAGGTAGTTCTCCTAATGTTAGCCCTCCCAAGGTCCCCCAATCCCCAACAGGCCCCAGTGTGTGATGTTCCCCTCCCTGTGTCTATGTGTTCTTATTGTTCAACTTCCACTTATGAGTGAGAACATGAGGTGTTTGGTTTTCTTTTCTTGTGTTACTTTGCTGAGAATGATGGTTTCCAGTTTCATCCATGTCCCTGCAAAGGACATGAGCTAATCCTTTTTTATGGCTGCATAGTATTCCATATACACCTCTACTTGTTATAATTCATGATGTACAGAAAAACCTTTAGGCCAAACTTAAAATATGTAAGAAGGCAGCTTTAAGCTAAACTTGATTTAACAATTATAAATGTTTCTTATCAGAGTTAAGGTATGTGTTAATGTTAATTCTGGCTAGCTTTTCCTGAATTCCAAAAGGGAGGAGGGCATAAGGAGGCATGTCTGACTCCTCCTTCCCATCATGGCCTGAACTAGGTTTTCAGGTTAACTTGGAGTGCACTTGGCCAACAGTAGGGGTCCATTCAGATGGTTGAGGGGCTTAGAATTTTATTTTTGATTTATAACCATTAAGCACGAACCTAGCTTTCAGCATATGTAGCCACTTACTAAAGATTTCTTTGATCAAAAATGACTACAGACTATTAATCAAATATTTTTCTCATCATCAGTTAAAACATTTCTATTCCTTTGGCCTATTATTATGGAGGAATATATTAATCAATTTCTTAACACTGAATCATATTTACATCACTGAAAGGAACCCAATCTTGGTAATCGTACAATATATTTTTAAAATTATTGCTAGTTTCTATTTGTTACATTTTATTTAGTATATTTTTCCTACTCAATATGCAAAAAATGTGCAATCTTTATCACGCTTTGGTATTAGTTGGCTTTGCAAAAATCTTAAAATATTAAGGAAACACTAAGTCTAATCCTCCATTTTTAAAGGTAAAGATTTTTGAGGCCCTGAGAATATTAAGTGATTTACTAAGTTCACATTATTTTTTATTCTTTTTTTATTCCCTGCAAGTGTTGCACATCTACTTTTATTTATTTATTTATTTATTTATTTATTTTTTGAGTTGTGGGGTTTCGAAAACTCTGTCACTCTGGCTGGAATACAGTGGCACAATCAAGGCTCTGCGGCCTTGAACTCCTGGGCTCAAGTGATCCTCCCACCTCAGCCTCTCTAGTGGCTGAGACTACAGACATGAGACCACATCCCATTAAGTTCTTTTCTCTCTCTCTCTCTATGTGTGTGTGTAGAGACAGGATCTTAGTGTGTTGCCCAGGCTGGTCTTGAACTCCTGGCCTCAAATCATCCTCCTGTCTCAGCCCCACAAAGTGCTGGGATTACAAGTGTGAGCCACCACACCTGGCCCTTTTCTACTCTTTATATCTAGTCTTGCTAATTTCAACTCCTAAAATTTTCTCAAATCCATGTTCTCCTCTCTCTTTAAGCCCACGCCACTGTCACATTGAGTTCAAGGAGAGCTGGTTTCCTGCCAGGGTTGATGTAATAGTGTCTTCAAGTGGTTTCCGTGGCTCCCAGATCACCCTTCTCCCCATTGGCATGACGGTGAGCCATCATGTTGTCCTCCTGCTTAAAATCCTTTGTTAGATCCTATGATACATCTTGCTGTTACATTGACAAGGCCTTCTATTATCTGGCCCATTTACCTTTACCTCTAATTTGGAAAGAGGCCACATGGTCCAGTGGAAAAGCTCCAGATGGAAATCGAAGATGGATTTGAGTCCTAGTTCCACCTCTTACTACTTATGTGACCTTAGGCAAGTTACCTAATCTAAGTCTTCACTATCTCACCTGTAGGATGGGGCAAAAATGACTTAAGTTGCCAATAATTGTAATGTTGACAAAAAGAGTCAAACTCTGTAAAAAATTTAAGGGATTTATTCTGATCCAAATATGAGTGACAGATTGCTCATGACGCAACCCTCAGAAGATTGTGAGAATATGTGCCCAAGGTGGTCAGGATACAGGATACAGCTAGGTTTTATGCATTTTAGGGAGAAATAAAACATCAATCAATATATGTAAGGGGTATATTGGTTTCGTCCAGAAAGATGGGACAACTGGAAGGAGTGGCTTCCATGTTATAGGTAGATTCAAAGTTTTTCTAATTGGCAATAGGTTGAAAGAGTTAAATTGTTGTCTAAAGCCTTAGAATCAATAGACAGGAATGTCTGGGTTAAGATAAGGGGTTGTGGAGACCAGGGTTTCCATTATGCAAATAGAACTAATAGAAGGGGATGTCTGGGTTAAGATGAGGGGTTGTAGAGACCAAGGTTCTCATTATGCAGATGAAGTCTCCAGGTAGCAGGCATCAGAGAGAATAGATTATAAAAGTTTCTTATCAGAGGTAATTCTCTCCTGAAACAAGAAAAAGGAGAGAGAAGGAAGGGGATTCTCTTTAGAATATTGATTTTCCATTTGCAGGACTACTTCAAGATATGGCAAAGAAAATATATTTAGGGTTAAAATATTTTGATTTCCTTCCTTATCTATCATGTGATATTATGCCAGAGTCAGGTTGGAAAGTAGGTCACGTTATGTAGCACTAAATAAAACCCGTCTGATGAGACTATGGTTTGGAGGGCGTGACTCCCAAGGGCCCAACATGGTGAAACCTAATCTCCACTAAAAATACAAACATTAGCTGGGTCTGGTGGTGCGCCTGTAGTCCCAGCTACTTGGGAGGCTGAGGCAGGAGAAGCACTGGAACCTGAAAGGCAGATGTTGCAGTGAGCTGAGATCATGAAACTACACTCAAGCCTGGGCAACAGAAGGAGACTCTATCTCAAAAAAAAAAAAAAAAAAAAAAAGCTATTTTAAACTATTAATTTTTAAAAATTTATTTTTTAATTAACAAAATTCTATATATTTATGGTATATAACATGATCTTTTGATATATGGATACATTATGGAATGGCTGAATCAAGCTAAGTAATAAATGCATTACCTCATATACTTATCATTGTGTGTGTCTGCTGAGCACATTTAACATCTACTTTCTTGGCAATTTGTAAATATACAAAACATTGTTATTAACTACAATCACCCTATTGTACTGTAGGTATCTTGAACTTATTCTTCCTACCTAACTGAAATTTTTTATTCTTTGACCAATATCTCCCTGATCCTCCCCAGTCCCAGTGCCTAATAACCACCATTGTGCTGTCAACTTCTATGAGTTCAACATTTTAAGGTTCCATATGTGAATGAGATCATGTGGCATTTTACTTAATGAACTCCATGTTCATCCATGTTGTCACAAATGACAGAATTGTCTTTTTTTTTTTTTTTTTAAGGTTGATTGATTTTTGACAAGGCTGTGAACACAATGGGGAAAGAACAGTCTCTTCAAAAAAAATGGTGTAGGGAAAATTGGATATCCCTATGCAGGAGAATGAAATGAAACCTTTTTCTCACACCAAATACAAAAATCAACTAAAAATGAATTAAAGACTTAAAACTTAAGGACTGAAACTATAAAACTACTATAACATAGGGGAAACTCCATGACATTGTTCTGGGCAATGATTTTTTTGAAGATGACCCCAAAGCACAGGCAACTAAAGCAAAAATAGACAAACAGAATTACATCAAACTATAAATCTTCTCTACAGCAAAGAAAACAATCAACAGAGTGAAGACAAAAGCTAGCACGTTGGAGAAAATATTTGCAAACCATACATTTGTTAGGGCATTAATATCCAAAATATGTAAGGAATTCAAACAATTCAATAGCAAGAAAACAACCCAATTTAAAAATGGGCAGAGCATCTGAATAAACATTTCTCAAAGAAGAGATACAAATGGCCAAGTAGATGAAAAAAAGTTCAGCATCATTAATCATCAGGGAAATGCAAATTAAAGCCACGACGAGATACCATCCCACACCTGTAAAAATGGCTATTATAAAAAAGATGAAAAATAACAAGTGTTGGCAATGATGTGGAGAAAAGGGAACCTTTGTTGATGGGAATGTAAATTAGTACAGTCATTACGAAAACCAGTGCAGAAGTCCTCAAAAAATTAAAAATAGGACTATTTTTAGCAGTCTCACTACTGAGTATATGTCCAACGAAAATGAAATCTGTACGTTGAAGAGAGATCTGCGCTCCCATGTTCACTCCAGCATTATTCACAATTGTCGAGATACAGAATCATTCCTAGTGTCCATTCATGAATGAATGGTTAATCTCCTCCCGTTGCCCTATTCCCTCCATATAGCCTTTGTTTCAGCCTTACTGAGCAATTTATAATTCTCAAACACATCACATTTCTTATTCTACTTAGAATACTTCCCTTCCCTAACACTTTCATCCCTGACCTTTGTTCTCTTAGCTAACTTATATACACACTGACTCAGCCTCCTGAGTGGCTGGGATTGCAGGCACCCACCACCATGCCTGGCTAATTTTTGTATTTTTAGCAGAGATGGGGTTTCACCATGTTGGCCAGGCTGATCAAGAACTCCTGACCTCAAGTGATCCACCCATCTCTGCCTCCCAAAGTGTTGGGATTACAGGCATGAGCTACTGCACCCAGCCCACACTAAAAACTTAATGCTAAAGTTATCTGTTTTGGAAAGCCTTCTTTGATCACCTCTTGTATTTTGTCATTCTTTCAGTATTGCCACAGTAAGTGTATATGTGCCTATTATCATCTTTATCACTTTTGTATTCTAATGCCAATTCTAATACCATGCTGAGATGCACAATGCTATACAGCATGGTAACAGCATGTATCAGTAAAGGTGCAGTGTGACTGATATCTCTACAAAACGCAGAGCTGGGCAGTGCACCAATTTAATGAAGTCTCAAGGAATTTAAGTTCTAGAAAACTAAGGTGCTACCCAAGGTCATTTACCTAATCAATGGCACATACGGCACCAAAGTGCAGGCTGCTTGCAGTCATTCATTCATGCATTCAATCTGTAACAAGCAGACTGATGTAGAAATTTACTGGTGCTAAATTTTTGTTCTAGAGACTCAAAGAGGAAAGAAAGAACATTTTCCTCTTCCCTGAAACATAACTAGACTTTCTGAATTTCCAAGAAAAAGTCAAAAGATGGCCCCATCCAACTTTTCTTGTGATTAGGGCCTTGGTGCCTGTATACCTGAAAAGAAAAAAGCAAGATGAATTCCTCTGATTTTGGATAACTAAAGAAGGCTTAAAGATACCCCAAAGCAGAAGTAACTGGAGGGGTTAAAAAAGGGAAGAAAGGGAAGACTTTTATTGCAGCTGGGTCCCCATTGTGGGCTGGAAAAGGACAAGGGCTCCCAGTTTCACGAAAGTAATGTCATGAACTTGTTAGGACATAAGAAGTGGCAGGACATGGAGGGTTGGGTGGAGAAGGAACGGCCCCAGGCTGAATACAAAAAAACATGTCTTGAAATAAAATTGCTAAGGGAATGAGAAGATAGAGAAGTCCAAGAACCAAACTCTAGGCATGCCAATGGCTGGTGAAGTGGAGGATGAGCCAATGAAGCTGCTAGTGAGGTGGATGAACCAAGAGACAGGGGCCACCTGAAGGCCACGAGAAGAAGGTGAATGCTTCAACATGGCGGCTGTAAGCAACTGTTTCTAATGCTGCTGATAGTTCAAGTGAGATGATGGAAAAGTAACCACTGATTTAGCAATTCTGACGTCATTGGTGACTTTGCCAAGAGGAGTTTCAACGGAGGGGTAGGAGCAAAAGCCTGGCTGAAATAGATTTAAGAATGAATAGGAGGGCCAGGCATGGTAGCTCACATCTATAATCTCAGCACTTTGGGAGGCTGAGGCGGACAGATCACCTGAGGTCAGGAGCTCAAGACTGGCCTGGCCAACATGGTGAAACATCATCTCTATTAAGAATACACAAATCAGCTGGGCATGGTGGCACACACCTGTCGTCCCAACTACTTTGGAGGCTTAGGCATGAGAATCACTTGAACCTGGGAGGCAGAGGTTGCAGTGAGCTGAGACTGAGCCACTTCACTCCAGCCTGGGCAACAGAGCAAGATTCTATCTCCAAAAAAAAAAAAAAAAAACCACAAAAGAAAGAAAAAGAAAAATTGGAGGAGGGGATGAGGATACAGTGAGCATAAATGACTCTTTTAAGACATTTTGGAAGAGACCAGAGAATACGTTGGAAGAAACACGTAATCAAGGAACTTTTTAAAAGATAGGCAAATGTTGCACAATATGAATATGCTTATGGGAAAGATCCAGCATAGAGATAAAAATTAATAATGTAGGATTGAGAGCTGACAACTACCCGAGTGAAAAAGTTGAGACTGTAAGGAAGACAGGATCTAATACAAAGGTGGAAGAGTTGAACTTAAATAAGAGCATGCACAGCTCATTCCCAGTAACAGAAGGGAATACAGAGTGCACAGGTCCAGATGTAGGTAAACTTGGGAGATGTGGTGATGGGAACTTTAACTCCTGAAATACTAACCTGTACTCTCTCAGAGTCCAATTTTTTAGTCTACTGAATTCAGCAATACAGTGAAGTTTAGTAGACCAAATTATCCAAAAATTTTGAAGGAAACTTATATGTGATTGAGACATTTTTACCTCTTACTCTAAACTTTGACCACCCTGGAAAAAACTGTTGGACTCACATAAAATTGAAATCTTTAGTGAAACACATTCTTTTATAGGTATATTTAAAAGTTTTAACTTCTGAGATAATATCACAGTTTTCAAAACACTAAGACATGTTTTTCTCGTTAGCTAATTGTCAGGCTTCACCTGAAGCACAGTGTAAGGCCTGCATGAACTTCAGCTGTTCATAATGTGGAAAAGACCAAGTGTGCAAGGCAAACAGATCTTGCCATGGCTGCTGATGATAGAAACTTAATCTCTTGGGGCCTGAGTTGCTTTATCTGTAAAGTAAGGATAATCCTTGCTTTATAAGATTATTGTGAGCTCCAAATAAGATAAAGCTCCCGGCACACAATAGGTGCTTAAAAAAAAAAAAAAAAAAAGCCAGCTATCATCACTGAGGTGAGCTTTTTCTGAGAGCAAACATGTTTAACTCATAAATTTCTTTCATTGATACGATGTAACCAATGGGAAACTTGGGGCAGGCACACGATGCCTCTCTGTACTGTCTCTGCAACGTCCTGTGAATGTATACTTACTTCTTCTTCTATTTAGAGCTCTAGGAGAAATACCTGTATACCATCTTGCGCGCCTCCTTGTGAGGCTCAGTGGGCTATGCTCAGAGAGTGGAGATAAATGTCTGCCGTCTGTAGCAGAAAGGCAGTTACACATTTCAGAATGATGTTTTTCCGAAGAAATGGCAAAAGCCAGACGAAACAGACTGACACGGTCACTGTGGTTTGGAATCTCAGTTTTTCTATCTGGCTTTACTACTTTTGGCTCTACACTGGAGAGGAACCAGTGTCCTCATGAAACAGCCAGTATAAGAGCAAGCAGCTTACTTCACAGGAGTAGCTAATAACATTTAACTGTTGAGCATTTTACCAAAACCCACTCACGTCAATTTAAGTGTAGTGCAGTGGAAGAAATTATTGCACATTGCAAAGTTGTGTTGCATTTCACTTAAATCTACAAAGGCCAACAGAAGTGCAGTGTGATATAATAAATTACTGCAAAATATTATAATAATAAGGGGAGAAGGTGGCTGTTACTGAAGCCCTTGGCCCCAAGGTAACTGAGGTCACCCCCACCGAACCCCCCAGCACACATCCCTCATTATTTCAGCATTTGTACTATAGGGGGTTACAGGACTTCCGCCCCAAAGCAATGGGGTGAAAACGTCGGAGCTCCCAGATGGAGGGGCCACCACTAGAAGAAAAGCTGGGGCAGGCTGGAGGAGAGGGGCTGTGGAAAAGGTTGCTCTCAGCATCACACACGCCTCATTCTTCTAGAACGGGTATCCACAAATTCCCAAGATTTGCGAGAACATAACCCTTGAGAAGGTGGGGGTGACCCACGGAGGAATTCCCTGGAAAAGCTGAGACGGCCCCAGCTGGAGATGCGGCGTCCACTCCCGGGGGTCAACTACGAGGGGAGGGGGCGTCTGCGAGAAAGGGGAGGGGCGGCGGTGGGCAGCCCAGGGAGGAGAGGAGGGGCGAGGCGCCGTCGCCAGCCCCCTCCCCTCGTCTGCGCTCCCTTCTTTTCCCTGTCGGTCGGGCACCCGAGCGCACCCCGCGCCGAGGCCTGGCCGTTTCAGGGGGAGGCGCCAACTCGTCGCGGCGCAGGGCCCCTGACCGTGCAGTAACCGCTACCCAGGAGGCGGAGCGGACGAGGCTCCGGCCTGCGCGGAGGTAAGAGAGTGGAGGAGTGGTGTGGGAGGCCGAGGGGGATCGCGGCCGTGACGTGGGATGCTGTCAGGTACCCCTGGGGCAGGCCATCCCTCCCCGCCCTGCGGCCCGACCTCCCCGCCAGAAAACGCTGAGGGGCCCAGGGGAGTAGAGCCACTACCGTGCCACAGGCCTAGGCGTCGCCGCGCATGCGTAAACCTGCTGGCGGGAGCTGGAGGCTAGGTTCTGGAGCTACACCCCAGCCCAGGCCGCGGGCAGAGATTGCCCTGCGCATGCGCAATTCCGCTGGCGTGGGTCCGGCGCGCTGCTCTGGGACTACATCCTGCCGAGGCGCCGGCCCAGGCTGCGCTGCGCATGCGCGAGTCCTCTGGTAGGGGTCCCGTTTGGCGTCATTCCAGGGTGATCACCTGCCGAGAGGCCGCTCTCAACTTAAGCTCCCGCGTCCGGTGCGAGTGGGGCGGGGGAGGGGGCCGTCACGGGTCCCGGGGGAGCGTCCTGCCCGGAGTTTCGCCTACATAACCAACTCGCAGCACTGCATAGTTTGCTGATGTTTTCATTTCTGTCGCCTCGACCCCTAGGCTCCAGTCCCATAAATCTAGTACCACAGGTCCCGGGCCCCAGACCGGCTCGTTAACTCAGTGGCAGTATATGCTTTCGACATTTGGTCCTGATGTCCAGGAATAGCGTGGAAAGTTTGACTTTGTTAGGCGAAGCTGTTTTGGAACTGTGGAGGGAGGGGAAGAAATCGCCGAGCGTCTTAAGCCGCAACATGACTGATCTGCTCAGCCCTGGAAATAGAGGTTTTCAGACATTGAAAACTTTCCAAGCGCTCTGTCTTGGCGGATAAAGAACTGAGTTGGAAGGCGAATTTAGAATGAACTTTTTGCTTTTGTTCTTTGCAAAAATGACGTAAAATGTTGCAACAGTTCGAGGCCAGGACTAAAACAAAATGCATTTCGTGGAGCTACTTTGTACCGCGCTTGGCGACTTACCTTGTTAGAGCCGAATAAAAGTGGTTGAGTTCACAAACAGTGCTCTGGATCATTGCTCTTTCCCCCACACTCGAAAGTGACAGTCACTGTTTAACGTTTATTTAGCCTCCTGGCTTTGCACCTTCCTAGTATTGTGTTCCTGCTGGGCTTTATACCTTACTAGACGGGGGTCCTAGTTAAGTCAGTTTCGTGACTGCTGAGGCTACCGTGAAGAGTTTCTAACAATGTCATTACTGTGTGCCTTGTAATCTTATATGATGTGGTGATACAGATTTGGGGGCTGGAAGAGCCATTTAGGCTCAGAGAATGAGTACTCTGGCTGAAATGTAATCTCTTTATTTCCTGCTAGACAGCACATGCATATTATTAAGCAGCAGGTAAAAGCAACAAGAATGATAGGTTCTTGCATGCCCCACTTCCACCACTCAAGCCTTATTGTTCTTGCTGGGCTCGCCAAGCAGACCCTCACCCCAGGGCTTCTGCATTTGATATTTCCAGTATGTTCAATGCTCACTTTCCCTCTCCTCCCAAGCCTGCATGGCACAGAACTTCGTTTAAGTCTTGAAACAATTGCCATCATTTCAGAGAGGTGACTACCTCACCTAAAATGGCTGGCTCTCCATACTCTTGTACTGCTAGTTTGGCTTTGTAGCACTTAATCACCGTCTGATATTATGTATTTGTAAGGGTATGATCAATCTACCTCCACCGTAATTGAAGCTCAGAAGGTATTTGTTGATTGTGGAAGTAAAATGGGAAACTAACTTACTCCAGAGATATTTTTGTACTGAACTCAACATAGATTCATTCACTTATTCAACAAAAGTTTATTTTCTGTCAGGTCCTGTCCTTGGTGCTTGGGATATATCAGTGAACAAAACAGACAAAGATTCCTTCCCTTTGGAGCTTACATTCTAGCAAAGAATGATAAAAACCATATTTGCTTATTCGGTTAGAAAATTACAAACGCTATGAAAAAGGAGAACAGAGAAAGGGAATTGGGAGTGCAGGTATGGGTTGCAATTTTAAACATCATGGGTATGGTGAGTCTGAAGGATAAACCAAAGGTGATGTTTAACATGGAGAACTGGGTTTTGGAGATAAATGTTCTTCTGGGAGAAAACGTTCTTTATCACGCTCTACAGTGTCTTTTATGGGAACCCACAGCATGACCCTTGTGATAAACGTCACCATTTTTTATAGTATATAGGTGAAAAAACATTTTTTTCCCAAATAAGAGTTCAAATTATTCAGGAGTTTACAGTTTAACTTAGCACATCAAATGAAGACACTGGACTTTTACAAGGAAGAGACTAGCCAGACAACTATGTAAATTGTGCTGAGAAAAACTGTATGTTGTCTCCACCGTTTTTTGCGATTGCTTCCAAATGTCCCTCTGACTGTGGATGACTGGTGAAGATCTTTTTTAAGAATGTTCGTTGCTTTTCTGTTTTTGAAACTGTGTAGGAGAGGAGCTTAAATCACCCGGTGTGATATTATGCTATAAGGTATTAAATGACCTTAGAGGTATCGGAATGAACCAGATAAACCTAACTAAATTTCAATCCATAATTAAAAAAGGCTTAGAGAAAGAGGGTGATGGAGAGGAATAATTTTAGAAAGTAAAGTGTGTTTCCCCTCATGTTCTTTACTTATATAGATTACAAATATTTGGTGTTCAAACACCAAAATATTATTAGTCTAGGACCATAAATGTAAGGAATCCATGGAATTTGCTTATGCCCTACAAAATTGTCATATTCAAGTTTGGTTTTATCAGTTGATTAAAGTGAAATTTAAATGCCCCAAGATACTGCTACTGTTGAGGTTTACTTGGATTTAAATTATTACAAAGCAGGCTGGGCGTGGTGGCTCACCTGTAATCTCAGCACTTTGAGAGACCGAGGCAGTCAAATCTTCTTGAGCCTAGGAGTTAGAGACCAGCCTGGACAACATGGCAGAACTTTGTCTCTACAGAAAAACAAACGAACAAACAAAAAGTAGCCAGGTGTGGTGGCACACACCTGTAGTTTCAGCTACTTGGGAGGCTGTAGTGAGAGGATCACTTGAGCTGGGAAGGTTGAGGCTGCAGTGAGTCATGATCACACCACTGCACTCCAGCTTGGGCAATAGAGTAAAACCCCATCTAATAAATAAATAAATATTGCTACAGGTTAAAATTGTCCAGGAAAAGGGAGATTGGAGACCAGGAATTATTGGGGTTACAGAGTGACATTAAGGACTCTTGTTAAAGACTGAAAGAGAGGTCCACATGAAGATTTTACTTCAAAGGAGTGGATAGCTTGCCTCCTGGTAAGGGATATTGATAATGTCCATCAATGGAAGGCTAAGATGATACTTCGAGCTTTCATTGTCTGGAAGGAATATGTGTCCAGTTCACATGGTGATCACATTCTAACAACGTGAAGGTTTCCAGGAAACTTAAACCATAATAATTTTTCAGCATTAATCTGACGTTAGAGTGAGTTTCTTTTATGTCTTCAGCCTTGCTAATTGGCCTGAGCTAATATCTCTTATGGAAGATATTTTGAGCTAACATGTACCGGTAGGAGATAGTATGTGAATAAAACAAATTTTGAGTGCATTATAATATTTCCTGTATTATGCTGCATGTATGCATGTATATAATACTGAACAAAACCAATCTCAAGTGGAAATGAGCCAAGGCCAAGAGGGCCTGCCATGTTGAAGGGATAGGTATGCTGTGGGTCAAAGATCTTTAACAATTAGGATCTCTGTAACAGGCGTGTTAAGATTTTTTTTTGAAAAATTGGATTAAATCTATAAGGACCTAGATTTAAAATGGATTTACAAATGAGATCTCAAGTCTCAACTCACATTAGTTAATATAACAACTTAAAAATATTTTTATCATTTGTGTTGATTATTTTTCATATTTGAAAATGACACTTTCGCTGTGTGTGGCTGAAAAGACTGAAGTTGTCAAGCTCAGTAATCTTTTCAATTAAATACTGCTTTGCTTTGTACTGAAGATCTGACTCATCACTCTTGTTGAAATTTGGAAAACTTTTTAAAAAAACAAATAATTAAAATAGCAACAGTGTTTCTGTATTCTACACAACAGTTTTCTGTTTTTCATGAACATATGGCAATATCATTTCCTCTGAGGTTGTGTGCTAGTTTTAGTTATGCTTTTAGTGTTTCAGTTTTGTCCATACTGTTTATAATTGTTCCATTTTAATTAGCCATGTAGGTATTTTACTGTTATTTGTCATTGATTTTAGACATCTCATTTAAGTGGAGCTAACATTGCAGCTAACATTATCCTTTTTTGCAAGTGAAAATTGGGATCATGTTTTATTATTGTATATGTATTTATATTATTTATAACTTGAAGATGACCCTTAAAAAGCTATTAAAGATACTATCTAATGACTCACCTAAGCATATATTTGGGAACCATCATTATCCTATTGAAATTTATGTGGTCTGCAGCTCATTAACACATTGATGCTGTAATCTGCATGCTGGTACCCTAAAAGACATAGATATTATTTAATTTCCTGTTTCTTTTGATTATAAAAGCATCATCAAATGTGTTGCCCACCCAGATGGGATAATTTTAAGCATAGAGTTCTATATTGAGATAATTCTAAAAAATATTAATGTGTTTCTCGTGCTCGCTTCAGCAGCACATACACTAAAAAATATTAATGTGTTTCTCAAGCATAGATAGCTTTGGAGTTGATCTCATTAAGTTGAATTTTAAAATATGTAACACTGGGACTTCTCTGCAGGAATTACTATTTCTTTTTCACCCCTTCTTTTGGAATCACTTCTAAAGAAGAATTATTAGCATTTAGAAGCCCCTGATTAACTGCAAAATATCAGCACTTAAAACCTACCATTGGGTTGGGGTAATGTGGACACAAGCCCCTAAGAGCTGGATATTGTTTTGCTCTACGTTATTCTGTTTTCTCTCATGTATTTGCTTTCAATTCAGTGCCTACTGCAGGCACTGAATTAATATTTGTTGAATGAATTAGGCAAATGAACCTATGTCCCGTAAGCAGCTTAACTCATTTTTTAGGTCAGAGGTATTACCAAGTAATATAACACATTGTGTAGCAGATACACTGATTAATACTGATTACTTTACCAAAAATAATATGTACAACCTGCCTGTTTTATGTTTTACACAGGGAAATGAATTATTTGACTTTATGTGAAGATTAAGAATGAACGTGTTTATCACATTATCAAAAGAGTGTCCCCTTGTTCAGTAGTCTTCAACTGCATAGTTTTTAAGAGTGTAGATAAAACTCTCAGCATAGAATATATAGAAATAAGGAGTTATCTGCCCCAAACAGGGATACTTTAAAAATAAATTATTGAGCCATACAATTAGGAAAGCAGCTGAAATAGGAAATGTCATGTGACAGATTACCTTACTTGATATATATTTGGCTTTGAAACATTACTTTTGTACAGACTTGAAATACTGGCCCCTGAGTGTCCCATTTGGAACCTTTAAAGACAGAGATCAGTGGTGGGAGCTTCTGCTGGGAGAGGGTACTTACCATTCTGTTTTCTATTGATATTGCAAGGCAGATATTAGTACAGTAAGATTCTGTAAAAACAGTTTTAGGTTACATTTTAATAAAATGAGGAAATACATAAGAGACTGTTTTGCAAAGAACAAAGCACCTTTTAATATAAATAACTATATATCATATATATATGAGCCAAGTCATATATCCCAAAACAAACATATAAGGGAAAAACTAATAAAGTAACACATAGTAAGATAATCTTCCTGTCATCCCATAAGATCGTGTGAGATGATCTTATGCTGTAACACTGTCACTGTGAGGAAAATCTTCCCAATACTGTTGCCAGCTTTTGCCCTGGTTCTACAAGAAACATTGCCCTCCTATGCAGAAAAGGGGACGTTTGTAAGCAGATTTAGACCCTAAGCAGAAAGCACATTTTTGCCATTTTAATACACTGATATTAAACATTATTTTTCCTATTTTGGATTTTTCTTACAGGGACAATAGTATAAATACTACTCATTGGAATGTTATTTAATCCTCCTATTTAAAAAAATCTATTTATTATTATTATTTTTTGAGATGGAGTCTCACTCTGTCACCCAGGCTGGAGTGCAGTGGCGTGATCTTAGATCACTGTAACCTCTGCCTCCTGGGTTCAAGTGACTCTCCTGCCTCAGTCTCCCAAGTAGCTGGGATTACAGGCACACACCCTTACTCCTGGCTAATTTTTGTATTTTTAGTAGAGATGGGGTTTCACCATGTTGGCCAGGCTGGCCTCAAACTCCTGACCTCAATTAATCCTCCTGCCTCTGCTTCCCAAAGTGTTGGGATTACACATGAGCCACCGTGCCCGGCCTATTTTTGTTTTTTTAGAGACAGAGTCTTGCTCTGTTGCTTAGGCTGATGTGCAGTGGTATGATCATAGCTCATTTTAAAATTTATTTATTTATTTATTTTTTATTTTTTGAGATAAGATCTTTGGCACCCGTGCCGAGTGCAGTGGTGCAATCATGGTTCACTGAAGCCTTGACATCCGGGCTCCAGCGATCCACCTATCTTAGCCTCCCGAGTAGCTGGGACTACCGGTGTGTACTATCACATGTAGCTAATTTTTAAGTTTTCTGTAGAGACAGGGTCTTCCTATGTTGCCCAGGCTAGTCTCAAACTTTTGGGGACCTCAAGCGATCCTCAAAGTGCTGGGATTACAGGTGTGAGCCACCATGCCTGGCCTTCCTAGGGTATTGATTCAATTTTATTTTATAGATGGCTAAAGAAATTATAGTTTATGAGTTTTCATTACCAAACGTTTATTGAATTTCCATGTCCTTGGTAAAGGCAAAATTAGAATGATAGAATTCTCATTTTAAGAGTTTATTTTCTTTAACATGGGGTAACCTTAATCTCTCCATCCTGAGATGATTAATTTAAGCTCAAAGTCTTGAAAGCCATCTTGTCAGATGGAAAAGCTGTAGCACACCAGCTTATTGACAGTTACATGGGACCTTTTATCTTTGGTATTCCCTCCACCAAAACTTCCCCATGAAAAAATTCCCATCAAAGTCTAGCCAGGCATATGTTGGTATCCATAACATGTTAAAATGGTATTGTCTTCTGCATGTTTTAAAATTGTATCAAATAGTATACCATATGTATCATTTTGTGACTTAGTGATTTTGGTGAACACTGTTTTGTAGATATACCTGTTTTGATTCTAGATAATTTGTTTTAATAGGTGCCTAGTATGCATATGCCACAGTTCATTGGTTCTGTTGATCAATTCGTTTGCTCTTTCTTGCTTTTTGCTATTGGGAATATTTGTGTGTATGCTCTAGAGTTTATCTAGGGCAGTGTTGCTAAAATTGCAGGACTTGTTAGTGATCTGGAAATTAGTGGGCTGAGATCAGCATTTTCTTTTAAAATGAAATTGAACAGGATAAAATAGAATAGAGTAGGGTAGAATAAAATAGCATAAAGTAGAAAAAATAGAAAAGATACCAAGCATCGCATTGTAGGAGGAGTACGAATTATTTTGTGAAATTTTTGTTTCAGTTATGTATACATATCAAAAAAAGATGGAAAGACTGCTGTGGTCTAAATATTGTTGAACTGTTCTGTAGAGTGATTGCACCAATTTACATTCCTTCTAGCAGTGGATATGAGTATGCCTTCTCATCTACATCCTCGCCAGCACTGGGGAGTTGTCCCCCTTGAACTTTTGCTGATCTGATAAAAGAGATCTATCTCATTGTGGTTGCATTTCTATGATAAATAATGTGGTGAACTTGAGTATCTTTTAATATGTTTATTAATTTATTCTTCTGTGAATTGCATGGATCCTTTGTTCACTTTTGAATTGTGTCGTTTGTTTTATTCTTATTGATTTACAGGCATTCTTTATATATTTTGTATATGAATCCTTTCCAAGCTGTCCATTATGTATGTTACAAATACCGACCCCCATTCTGTGGCATATTTTTCCCTTTGTTCATATTTACTGCTCTTTTCTTTGTGGTTTATGCTTGCTTGTCGTATTTATGAAATCTTTAACTGCTCTGAGGTTATGAAGATATTTCTATACTTCTAAAAGTTCGAAAGTTTTGCTTTTTTTTTACATTTCCACATGGATTCTCTTTTATTTTCTGTATGGAAATACTATAGATTAAATTCTCCTTAGTGTACATTTTTTCATATGTTTCAGTGTCCAGCTTGTTTAAACCCTCTCCTGAAGCTAATAAAGTATGATATTCAAAAGTTACCTTTTATAACTTTAACATTTTTATAATAGAGCATCTCTGCTGCTGACTTTTTAATAGTAGATAGCACAGATACAATTTTTAAACTGTATTTTTCACAGATAAAGAATGGATTGTTAAATGTGCAAGATAGTATATTCTTTTCCTTCTGTTTTTCTCTAATAGAATTTATTTGTGTATTTATATTTCCAGTCACATTAACTTTGCTCTAGAAGACAACTTTACAAGGATCAAAAAGGAACAGGATTAAAGATGACTGAATACTGGGTTCCAGAAATTTAAAACAATCAGGTACAAAAGTGTTTGGAGGGAATGCTCCCAGCCAGTCAGTATAAAAATAAAACTGTTGAGAATGTACACAAGAAAATCTTAAAGTATCTAGCCCTGAAATACAGTGGAGGGTCCCAAAACAAGGGCTTTGGGATAGTCCTGGTTCTAATACTGGCTCTGACACTGATTGGTTGGTGACTGTTGGTCACATTACTGAAATGAGTGAATAAAATGGAGGCAATGATTAACCTGTTTCATTTGGATATTATAAAGATTAAATGAGATAAGGTGAGGCACTTAGTGCCTGGCACAGAATAACTTTATTTTTACTGTTATTATTGCTGTTGTCATTTAGAATACATTTTATCACATCATGGGTATGGCTTTCTGTATGTATATTGTGAATTGTTATTTTAAGTATATATATCAACCTATTGTTAATAGCCTGGTGAAATCACATGGATAACAGGGTAAGGTAATCTCCACATGTATTGCACAAACTATACATGCAAATTGGGGATGCTAGTTTTCTCTATTATGTATGCATCACATTGAAATAATGTAAAAAAAAAGCCAACCATCTCCTACAATGCTAAAAAATTCAAAAGACTTTTTAGTAGTAGTATACAATAGTAATTAATCTTGATTTATTTTTAAATCTTGAAGGACTTTCTGATTGACTAATATGAAATTATGTTAATCTTATATTTCATCCAAATTGAATCCTGCACGTCATTTCTTTGAATGTGGTAATTTCCATGACATACATGCAATTATGTCTTAACCTGATGTCAGATAAACAGAATGGCCTGTGTTCCCACCATTCTAATTTTAAAGAGTTTCATTATACTTGAAATTGATGAAAGACACTGAAAAGAGGTTTTGTCCTACTCAAAAGCCCAGGATCACTTTTTCATGATTTTGCACATTAACAAGATTTCCCTTCTGCTAGGAACGAAAGGGGCCTAGAGTAGTGCAGTGAGGGGGCAGTCACATCTGTACTCGGTCCCTTTTCGTTTTTTCTCTTCTATCCCTCTTTCTTCTCCTCTCCTTTTATTTTTTATTCCAGGAAACTTGGGGCAAATATGGAAAAGGTGTTTCCTGGTAGGATGAAGGAGAAAGAGAGGGATCTTTGGAACAGGCCAGTTCTAATATACACAAAGCTGGGTTCTAAGGATGCTTTCTATAAATACGGTGTGTTTTACTCTGATCCATGGGCTGTGGCATTGAAGGAATCATCATCTGCGCTTTTGAAGAGCTTACCAATTAATAGAGAAGATACATCATACAAGAATAACTGTCATATGAGGCAGAATTTGAAAAGTGCCATCAATGTAGTTAAAAACAAAACAAAAAACTGCTGTGGAAATACAGAGAAGAGGTCCCAGCCCATTTGGGTAATCAGAATCCACGCTGATGTAAATCTCAGTGGCAGTCATGCTGGGTCTTAGAGTAAATTAGGATTTTAACAGATCTGCTAAGATGCCATAGATAATATGTAGTAAGTATTCATTAAAATGGCAAAATATCTTTCCATATCATCAATCAGATTGGTTTATACATTTTTAAGTGAGAAACTTCTAATTGATCTTCTTAAAAGCAAGCGTATCTTTTTTACTTGTTTCCAAACGTTATAAATAATAATTTGCTATTAATTTTCATAATTTTAAGTTATAATAATTCTGAATAAATTATGATTCCTCATTCTGCGAGATCTTTTTATAGCTGAGGAAAAAAATTACTAATATCTTCAAGGGCGTAGAAAACATTGATAAAGAACACTGTTTAGACTTGGCCATATTTTGATTATTGTTTTTAATCTGTCTATTATGGGGCTCTCACTCTACTGTAGAAAATATCAGATAAAAGGTTCCGATGTTAGTACCTGAAATAAAAGATTGTATTTAAGAAAATGGACCCCACCTCATGAATTAGAAAAAGCAACATCATTAAATACAGCCTTATTAAGTTGCTTTTTGGAGGACAGAGATTATTTTATTTTTATTTATTTTTAGTGATGAAATAGTTGACCTCATAATTATTGAACCACAGTCCAGACATATTGCATAGCTTCTGCTAGAGCTGCTCCTGCTGTTACTTCTACCTGGTAGAAAGTAGGTGATGTTAGCATGGTTATTAAGGCAAGAACATTCAATGCATTGCTACATATTGGGTGGCTGTTGTTTCAGATTTTTCATTAAGTCCAGAATAACAAAGCCGCATTCATTCATTCATTTTTTTCATCATTTTCATTCATTTCTCCTTTTTTTTTTTCCAGCTTAGCAAATCACATATTCTTCTGTGGAACTGAGAATTGATGTCTGCTCTTCCCAGTGATTTGGAACTTTCCAATCCCAGAGAAAAGTTGACCAAGGTCTAAAATTTATTTTTCCTTATCATAGGAAGTCAACTCTGAAATGAAAATTTTCTACTCATTTCCTTTATAGTCTTAAGGACCCATGTATATTTTGAGACTACTTTTTCAGACCTTAGCAGGAAGATTCCCGTAAGAGGCCATCCAGTAGTTCCAGATCAATTCAAACATTTTTGGAGTTTTGTAGCTGGTAATTTTCATGCCTAAAGTTTGATTCCTTTATCTTCCCTTCACAACATTTGAGCTTAGCTTATTTTCTCTGCTAATTAGCAGTAAAGTAATTTTAACCTGCCTAGTTCCATCGAACATAAGGGATCCTGATTTTACCACATACTTTTTCCTCAGGGACTGCCCAGGACTGAGTCCATATGGAAGAAGAACTTCCTCTTTTCTCTGGAGACAGTGGCAAGGTTAGAAAAATCATGCCCTTGGCGCATGTGTGTTCTGTCGCATGAAATATACTTCATGAAGCATCTATTGGTCACCGATAGGAAGATCAATGAGATACTATCTATCTTTGAGGGGCTCACAGTGTAATCACTGAGATGCCAGCAGATAATTGTTGTGGGTATGGAGAATGCTGAAGGGGCCAGCAGGGAACCGATACGCCTGAGGTGCAGAGACAGGGCTCCCAGAGATGGTGACAGTGATGGATGAGGCAGGAAGGCCATCCCCTACCTTCAGACAGTGCTGGCCTGCAAGAGGCTATGAGTTGACCAATGTTTATCCCATTCCCAGAGATTTTTAAAATTATAAACTGTCTGATCTTAGATGATATGTTCTCAATTCATCGTAGACATTCTTTAATTTCTTTCTTCATCACATCTGAACATGACAGTCAACCAGCTTAAGTCCACTCAGTGTCCAATTGATGTTAAAAGCCTCACATCTTCCTACATGCATATTGATTTCCATCTTGTGTTATTTTGTTAAATTTACAAAATATCTGCTTATTGCTATTAACAGCTTAATATTAACTGTCACTATTAACATTTGTCAGTTTCCCATACTTATTTAATAAAATCACGTCAAAATTCAATCAAACTGTAAAGAATTATGCAAAGCCAGCATCGTGTACAAAGATGGCAAAGCTTTTGAAACTAAACTGTAGCATTACCATGTGCAGACTTAAGTGTTCATTTGTGAGCCCTTGTAGGAAAGTCCAAAAGTAGCTTACAAAAGTAATGTATAGAACTTAAGAGTCTCACAAAATGTTAGCAGAAAAATTCCTAATTTTTCCTAGGAACAAGTTTCATAAAATAAAGAATAGATTCACAGAATCAGCAATGAAATTACAGTATTGTAACTACATAGTGATTGAACATATACAAATATATATACAAAGTATTATAATGAATGAATGTTTATAATATAATGAATACTATATAGTGAATATATTTATAAGATATAATGAATATAATGAATATATACAAATTGTTTTAATGCTAGGAAGTACTCAAAAGGTGAAGTGTTGGCATTTTTTCTTAACTCTTTTTTGCTAGGTATGCCTAACATGTAATTTTGATTTTCTTTAAATATACTGTATTTTAAATTGAATTGCAACAACTCAATAGTTGTCTGTAATTAAGTGAAGTATGGTTATACACTCGATTCTTCATATTGCTGGAGAAGCATAGTTACACAGGTATCACTCACTCAAAGGAAGAAGAAGGTGCAATTTGGCCTCTAATTTTGTGGCAGATGTATTTCCTTAATTATGTTTTCCTTGAGCTAATATTAAAATTTCAGGACTTGACATTTCCCAAACAGACGCCAGATCTTGAAGGAAGGGGAGGTGGACTAGATGTGAGAAAAGTAGTAAAAGAAAGCCGGCCTGGGTTAATTATCACCTGTGGCAGTGTTATTTGCAGTAAGGAGGGTTACCTGTGGCAAACCAGGACTGAATTCTAGGGACACCATATTGCCATGCTCTCATTCCTTAGTACTGCTTTTTTCCCCATACAGATTTCTCTATTGACCACACTTGGCTCTTGCTCAGCCAGTTTCTTACTTGACAGTGGGGTACGGAGTTGATTGGGTCATTCTGCAGAGACAGCTGCTGTCATGCAGAATGACTGCAGATAGATTGAGGCTGCTATGGGGGACTATTGTGTGCATCCTACATTGTCTCATGAGTGTGCTGGACAGAAGAATGTATATTGCTTCTCTGAACAAAGATGCTGTAATTCCTTGAGACTGACACAGGTAGAGTATCCCTTATCCGAAATGCTTGGGACCAGAAGCATTTGGATTTCAAATTTTTTTTTTTAAATTTTGGAATATTTGCTTTATATTTACCAGTTGAGTATCTTTAATCTGAAAATATGAAATCTGAAATGCTCCAATGAACACTTCCTTTGAGCAGGACCTTTGAGCATCAAAATTGGTGCTGAAAAAGTTTTGGGTTTTGGATTCAGATTTTTGAATTAGGGATGCTCAGCCTGTATTAAATATGTACTTCAAAAAATGCAAATACATGCATTTTATAAATTTAGTCATCAGTTCCCTATGTAATAGTTGCCCTAACAAACTTAAAAATTGAGTATTTGATGACTAACTTCCAGCAGCCAGCCTTCTGCCAGAGATTAAAAGCAATATATTCACATCTCTGTTGTACTCAGGTTATATTGTAATTATTTGTTTTCTATTAAATTGTGACCTCCTTGAAGGGAATGATCATGTCTTATTTTTGTATCTTAGTCAGTGATACTATCAGATCCCACATTCTCCTGACTTGTAGCATCATTTCATAAAACTTACAGACTGGAGGTTTCATTAAAGAAAACACATATTAGAATCCCAGTAGCCAGTAGAGTTACGGGCTGGGTACCATAGGTTTTTACACAGGTGGGCCAGGAAGAAAGCCTATAACTAATCATTTGTAGACAGGTGTGTAAGAGCTGGCTGGAATTTACAGCCTGATTCTAGACATCCAGAAAACCACTTGATTTAATAGCAGAGCAGGATGAAATATAAAACTCTGCTTGCAAGGGAAAAATGAAATAGTCATTGTGTCTTTCCATCTGTGCTTTTCGTGGAAGACAACCCATAGTAGGCATTATTGCCTGTTCCTTATGGAGTCTGAGAATAGCCAAAGCCCTGCAAATGCAAGCAAACACTAGGTCTACCAGTGGTATCACACTTTATGTCAACTTTTTACTCAGCAGTCGGATGATATGTGGAAAGAACTCTGGGCTTTAATCTGGCCCGTCCACTGAGAAGCTAGTGATCTTGGATGATTACTTAGTCTCCCTGTGCCCCAGTTTCCCCATAGGTAACATGAGGATAATAGTATCTATGTCCTACAATTGTTGTGAAGATGAGAAGTAAGATATAAACATTATTAGATTATTAATACATCTACATTAAATACTTGTTCCACTTCCACTTCCTAAACCTTGTTCTTTTGGAAATTTACAGGCTTAAAATAGGAAAAAAATTAAAAATGAAGACCTCATAGAAAATAAGATTTCTTCATGATGTTGGATGGTGGGGTAATTTAAAGTAGAAGCTTAACCAAAAACTAACGTAACAAAATTCCATCCTTAGCTCTATCGTGGCCTTGGGCAAGTTGCTGTTTTTTCAGTAAACCAGGTGTCACAGAGAAGAAATAAAAATTTTCAATAAAGATTCTTAGATTCCTAGATCAATGTCACATCACCATAGAACACTGTGTGTTCCTAAAATATATATATAATAAAATTGAGGACATAGTTTTACACTTGCATATAACTGTAACCTCTTACATATGTGAGATTTTATTTTGAATTCCAAATTCCAAATTAAGGTTGTCCTGTAGGGAATGCCTGTGCATTTTCCTACCTCATATATATATACATATATATATATATATATATATATATATATATGTATTTTTTTTTTTTGCAAAGTACTCTGTAACTAAAGTAAATGCAGAAACAGTAAGCACTGTTTCAAAAGTGAATGGGAGAACCAACTGTTGGTGTTGCCCAAAAGATAACAGAAGGTGTTCTTCCTAGGGCAAGGTCTTGTGATCCAAGTGGCCTGTGAGGGAATGTGACTGGATTTGGCATCAGGAGAGCTTGGCCCTGGTACAGGCTCTGCCGTTAACTCACAGGGCGATGCTGATAGCAGGGACAAGCTGCTTGGCTTCTCTGTTAGTTTCTTGGGGCAGCTGCAACAAATGACTACAATTCAAACAACAGCAATGTCTTTTCTCACAGTTCTGGAGGCTAGAAGTCTGAAATCAAGGCATCATCAGGGCGATGCTCCCTCGGTATCTCTCAGGAAGCATCTTCTCAGCTTCTGGTGGTGGCCCCCAGCCATCCTTGCTGCTACTTGACTTCCAGGTGTATCACTGCAGTCCCTGTCTCTGTTGTCACCTGGCCTTTTCCCCTGTGTATCACTGTGTGCCCTCTCATCTTCTTATAGACATTAGTCATTGGACATAGGGCCCACTCTAATCCAGTATGACTCCATCTTAACTCATTACATCTGCAAAGACCCTATTTCCAAACAAAGTCACCTTCTGAGGTTGTAGGTGGATCTGGACTTCGAGGGGAAACCATTCAACCCACTGCAGCTCCTCTCTGGGGTTTCTTCGGGTTTCTCAGAAAATTATCTTTTGAGTTCTGTTTAGCCACAGCATTCAATAGTGCCATGAAGATTATTCAGAAAAGATAGAAACCTGAAAACAAAGCTTTATTTACAAGAAAAAAGCTGGTGGCTCTGCTTGTTTTTGCTCTAGGTCCAGTGGCCATTGGGACAGCTGCTCCATGCATCTTAGCTTCCCTTTACTGACTGCAGACTTCACTTTGGCTACAAGTTAATACCGTTGGCCAGGATCAGAAGGAAACTTAAAAGTTTGAGAACTTAGTAACAAAGCTATATTTGATGATATGGCTCAGGTGGAGTAGAAATGGAGAGCTCTGGAGCCAGGAGCAGGGATTTGGGGCCCAGTTTTCAGAATGGCTTCCATGTGAAGGAGTTACAGAGGATGGGATGGAAAGGAGGACTGTGAATCCAGAAATGAGTCACAGCCATTCAAACATTTACTTGTTCATTTCACCAACACAAAGGTATGTATTGCATTGTTAGCTCCATTCAAAGGATGGATGACATGGTAGTAAAAGACTCGGTCTCTGTCCTCCTGAAGTATACTCAGGAGTCTGTGAAGGTGGCCCCAGAGAATTTCATGGTAATGAGGACAGGGGAGGCTTGCTAAGTTAGTAGTGTGGACTTGAGAAGAGCAGAGTTGCTGACTTGTGCTCTTTTAAGGTGGAAGGGACAAGTAGGTGTTCAGTTCTGTAGAAGGTAAGTGGATAGTCCACTCAGTTGTACACCAGAACGCATTCCCGGTAAGGTTGATTTAATAACTGATGGTAAAGAGAGGAGGCCTTAGAAAATCTTTGCTGCTTTAAATCATGTATAAGTTTGTTGATGTTGTGGGAAATAGCAGACATGCCATTTGATAGGCATATTGGCTGTTTATGTATCTTATTATAACCTTGAAAATGTTGGCAAGTTGAAAAGTATATCAATAAAAATGCCTCCAAAGTAGCAAATAGGTAAAACTCTTTCAAACAAATTTATAACATGCTCTTTTAGGAGTGCAGGTGCTCGTGATCTTAATGTATGCTATTAGGGGGTTAATTGTGACCCTGCAACATTTGTGTGTTGAAGTCCTAACAGCCAGTACCTCACAGTGCAACTTATTTGGAAATGGGGCAATGCAGATGTAGTTAGTTAAGATGAGGTCATTAGGGTGGACCTTAGTCCAATATAATTGGGGTCCTTATGAAAAGGGGAAATTTAGATGCAGAGATATGCAGGGCATGGGGGGAGATGATGTGAACAGACATAGGGAGAAGACAGCCATCTACAAGCTGAGAAGTGCAGCCTGGAAGGAGATCCTTCCCTCACAGCCCTCAAAAGGAGCTAGCTAGCTGATACCTTGAGTTTGGACTTCCAGTTTCCAGAACCATAACACAGTAAATTTCTGTTGGTTAAGCCACCTCGCTTGTCACTACTTTGTTACGGCTGCCTTAACAAACAAGTACACGTGTTTTCTGGGTGTTTCTTGTGCCGACCCCCAAACTTGCTTGAGGGATGAGGAAACCCACCAGTTCCTCAAACTGAAGGCCAGGTAAAGCTTGCCCATGAACTAAAACTTCGGACCATTTCCTTGGTGTCACTTTCAGCATTGTTCTTTACTAAGCATTGTTCTTGACTTAGGCAGCAGATGACATGGCAGCTCTCTCTCTCTCTCCCTCTTGTTTTTACAACCAGCCTAGTTTCCACAGCTACATTTAAGACATAGCCAATATTTAAAGTATCTGCTGAACATTCAGTTCCCAGAAGCCCAGCTGTGGATGACTCCTGTGTCCTTGAGGACAATGAGTAGGGGAGACCTGGTTCCACCTGGGCCTCCGGTGTCGGCGGCTGTGAGCCGCCCAGAAGCAGCTGGCAGAGGCAATCCCTGCAGCTGCGAGAGGCCTCTCAAAAACAGATGCAGTGTGTTCCTCCCAAAACCAGTGTTCGTCCTCTTCTACAGAGCTGAAGGGGCAGAGAAAATTCACTTTTTAATTTGTTGTTTCAACATATATTTTTTCCTTTTCAGCCAGTACAGGCTACTCTGTCATCTTTGAAGATGTTAGATGTGGGAAAGTGGCCAATTTTTTCCCTTTGTTCTGAGGAAGAACTACAGTTAATTCGTCAGGCTTGTGTCTTTGGCAGTGCTGGCAATGAAGTTTTATACACTACAGTAAATGATGAGGTAATTTTGAAGAAAATAATTCAGCTACTCACATTTTTAGAAATGAATTTGCCAAATTGAAGATCTTGGGGGAACTAAGGAATAAAAGGTAAAAAAAAAAAAAAAAAAGTAAATAAAAAAAAGGAAATTAGATTTTATTTATTATATAAAGAAGCAGTTTGCTTAAGGAAGATGATGCCTGTTTGGATGTAATTTATAGTTTGTTAGAAATAGAACTGCTTGAACTAACAGTGATTTTTCCCATAGATTTTTGTGCTTGGCACAAACTGTTGTGGCTGTTTGGGGTTAGGTGACGTCCAGAGCACCATTGAACCTCGGAGACTGGATTCTTTAAGTGGCAAGAAAATAGCCAGCCTCAGCTATGGGAGTGGTCCACACATTGTCCTTGCAACAACAGGTAACCTAGGAACCCCATGTAGAATTTCAGGTTTATTTGTCAGCTGCCCTTGAGAACATTGTTTAATTGGTTGAGAGTTGCTGGTTCTTCCTGTGAAATTGACTATGTTTTGGATACCATGAAACATGAATGTATCTGAATGCCAGCATAAGGTAATGTGGCAGATGGAATCTAGTAATCATTGTGTTTTGATGTATGAATGACAATGCTATAAGCCCAGTAAACACTGCTGAACTCATTGTGGACTTTGGCAAGTCTGTCTGAACTTTGAATTCCTGATCTATGAATTGAAAGACTAAACCTTGTGTCCAACATCCCCCCCACCTCGCCAACTCTTAGCATTCTGTGATTCTTACGCTAAAGAGTGACTGATGGCTGTAGTTGGCGTTAGTAGTAGGGATTAGCTACTTCATAAGGGATTGAGTAGAAAAATTCCTTGCTCTGAGTGAAGCAAGGAGGAAGAAAGAAAGAAAATAAATAAAATTTCTCCCCAGAAGGTTGTAACCATGGATTTGTAGTTTAATTCACATCAAGACTGAATGGTACAAGAAATCTCAACCCTTGAATTTATTCAAGGTACTGGATGGCAAGTGCCTTAAGGGCATGATAGATGTTAATGCAGATCCTTTCTAGGGGAAGGCACCTTTATCCTAGGCCTGAGAGAATTAACCGAAATAATTGTTCAATGGCAATAGCACATAGTCAAGAGACAACCAGATACACAGTAGTCTCCCCTTATCCATGGTTTTACTTTCTCAGGTTTCAGTTCCCTGCAGTTGACTGTGGTCTGAAAGTATAAATGTAAAATTTCCAAAATAAGCAATTCATAAGTTTTAAATTGTGTGCCATTCTGAGTAGGGTGCTATTTCACCATCTTGCTCCATCCCACCTGGGACATGAATCATCCCTTTGTCCAGCGTCTCTGCTGTAGACACTCCCAGCCGTTAGTTACTCAGTAGCTGTCTTAGTTATTAGATTGACTGTCTTGGTTTCATAGTGCTTGTGTTCAAGTCACCCTTATTTTACTTAATAATAGCCCTAAAGTGCAAGAGTAGTGATGCTTGCAATTTGGATATGCCGAAGAGAAGCCATACAGTTCTTGCTTTAAATGAAAAATGGAGAGTTTTCATGCTGAGGTTGTTAAGATTTATGGTAAGAACAAATCTTCCGTCTGTGACATTGTGAACAGTACATTTTGTAGTTGTTCTATTTCATTATTTGTTATTGTTGTTAATCTCTTACTACCCCTAACTTACAAATTAAACTTTATCATAAGTATGTATGTATAGGGAAAATCATAGTATATACAGGTTCAGTACAAGAGTCTTAGAATGTATCTCCTGCAGATAAGGGGGGCTTGCTATGCAAAGAAACAAGGTACCATGAATGGGAACCAGAGGAAATAACAGACAGCAAGAACTGATTACTAAATATCAGGTGTTAAAATTATCAGACACCAATTATAAGACAGCTATATTTATTGTTTGAAGAAATTAAAATGAGCTTGAAGATAATCTGCAGGGATTATAGAAGATTTGAAAAGATCCAAATGAGCAATATGATTATCAAATGAAAATTCAGTGGACAAATTTTGTAGCAGTTTGAACACAGCAAATTAGTAAAATTAGTAAACTGGAAGATAGATCAGAAGTCATTATTCAGAATATAGCACAAAGAGACAACATGCTGGAAAATACAGATGAAATGAGTACATACTGTATGATTCCATTTATTTAAATTTCAAAATCAGGAAAAACTAAAAATTTGTATGCAAGATGCATACATGAGGGCCTTTTGGGGGGTGATTATAAGGTTATATTTCTTGACTTAAGTAGTAGTGCATGACTGTACATACATGTTTTATGAACTTTTCTGTGTATTATGCTATGTAATAAGTAATAACAAAGATTTTAAAAAATCAACTTGGTGATTATTTTAAAGATAAGGAAATTAAGACCCAGGGGAGTTAAGTGGCCTTATAATCTTTTGACTTCATTCTGACGTTTTTGCTATTACTCCCAGCAGCCTTTTCTCTGCTGTTTATTAAAAACTTATTTTCCCGTTATTATAACTGTGTGCATTTAAGTTTCACCTTGTTGCTTTGAGGTAGAATGCAGTTTATACTTTCCAAATAGATTCTTTTGTAAATGACTTTGGTGGAATGGGGAAGTTGATTAGTTTTTTGCACCTGAATTTTTAGATTTCATTTGTGGAAGCTGTGCTACATATATTTTTGTATAATGAAGTAGATGTCGTAAAAGCTGGTTGTCTTTCTTTTTATTTTCAGAAGGAGAAGTCTTTACCTGGGGTCATAATGCTTATAGCCAGCTGGGCAATGGGACAACTAATCATGGTTTAGTGCCCTGTCAAATCTCAACTAATTTGTCAAACAAACAAGTCATTGAAGTTGCCTGTGGGTCTTACCATTCTTTGGTGCTAACATCTGATGGAGAGGTGAGAATAGTCAGCATAAAGCTCATTGATTTTTTTCAATAAGATTATGTAGACTTCTATAGTAGTCCTGGAAATACAATCATCTGATTAAAATAACCTCCCTCAAATTCAGCCTTATTTTTGGCAGCAATTCACAGTCAGGGTATTGATGTTGTGACATTTATCTGTACGTAGTAAGGTCTTCCATAATTGCAAAATTTAAAAGGAGGTGTTGTTCCTTCTCTGTTGCTGTAGTAAAGAGGTTATTTGCAATAAGAAAAATCCCCAAATGCTGAAAAAGATGGCTAGGGCAAAGTAGATACTTTTGTGTTATGTGTTATTTAATAGCAATTATTACTGTTCATATAGATAACACCAACCACCTAATTTTATAAAATCATGTACGTTGTGTAAGAATGAATTTTGTAAACACTTCTCTGCCTGTGTTGTAAGGATTTATAGATCTGAAGCACTTTGAGAGGGAAGACTCGGTGCCACAAGTACATGTCAGTGTCCAGTTGAGACACTTTATAAATTAATGTGTTTCATTTACTGATCTTTCCTTTAAACAGGTATTTGCCTGGGGTTATAATAACTCTGGGCAGGTAGGATCTGGATCAACAGTTAATCAGCCAATCCCTCGAAGAGTCACTGGCTGCCTACAGAATAAAGTAGTTGTGACCATAGCATGTGGGCAGATGTGCTGCATGGCGGTAGTGGACACGGGGGAGGTAAGGAAGTTATTTTACATCTTGCTTAAAAACCCTGTTTGCCACATCAGTCTCATGCTAGTATGGTATGTCCCACATAATAGACAACTTGCTGGCTGTTTACCTCTTGAGAGGATTGAGGGTGTCATTTTCTCTCAGGTCTATGTCTGGGGTTACAATGGAAACGGGCAGCTTGGACTTGGCAGCAGTGGCAACCAGCCAACCCCTTGCAGAGTGGCAGCTTTGCAAGGCATCCGTGTCCAGCGGGTACGTCCACTGTCAGTTTGTGTGCGTGTATTTTTAAGTCTTCACTGGCAAAGATATCAATATATTAAAAACATAGATTTCTTGGCAGGATGAAAAGTTTAGCTGCTTGGATGTCTTCATTAAAATAAAGGTTAAATCTCTTTTTTCCTTGAATTAAATTGCAGATGTTCAGAAAATTTCTGTTCCAGGGCACTGTCACATACCTTTTGGAATATAAATTGTTATAAGCTTTCCTGAGGAAGCTTTGGCAGGGTGTACAAGAGCCTTAAAAGCCTTTCTATCCTTTGACCTGTAGTTCTACTCCTAGGGAATTTCCCTGAGGAACCAACAGTTCCTGTAACTCTCTTACAGAATTAGTTAAGAAGAGATATATATATGTATATATGATAACTTTAATAAAAAACAATAGGTGTAACAGAAATCAAATCATAAGTTAATGATTAGCTAAATTATGCCAAGTGTATATGCTGGAGATGATGTATACAAAGAATTTTTAATGATATGGGAAACTGCTATGTGTAATGTCTAATAAAATGAAGCAAGATACAGAACTGCTTATACAACATGGTCAGTAAAAAAAAATGCTATAGGTGCATATCTCTATGTCTAAATAGAAATAGAAAAAAAAGCCTCTGATCTTCAGAGAACTTTTATAATTATATTTTTCTATATTTTTCAAATTGAACCTGGTTTACTTTTATAATCAAAAAAGAAAATAATTATTTAAAAAATACAAGTGTCGTTTCTGACATTCCCCTCATACCCCTTGATTTCTGTGAGCATTAAAGCTCCAGTGAACCGGGGCAGGTGCTCACGCCAGGGGACTCATGACAGTCTTACTGCAGTTCTGGCCCACATGTTCTGGAAGGATGTTGGTTACCTTAATGCTTGCCTCTACGGGTAGGCTGCCTCTTTCTTTTTTTCATTTTTGTTTCTTAACCTACTTTGCGGAAGCAGTGAAATAATGACTTCTGTTTGCAGTCCTGAGTGGATTTTTTTCCTTCCAGGTCGCCTGTGGCTACGCACACACATTAGTATTAACAGATGAAGGCCAAGTGTATGCTTGGGGCGCCAATTCTTATGGGCAGTTGGGCACTGGCAATAAAAGCAACCAGTCCTATCCTACTCCCGTCACTATGGAAAAGGACAGGTAACATGGCCATTTTCACAGTCCCCACACTGGTCTGTGGTGATTGTGATTAAACAGGACTTAGACATAGAGAGAATGGTGGGGAATGTACTGCTAGTGTTAGAATAGTATTTAACAAGAGTATTTATTCCTTTATAAAAATTGGCTTTGGAATTGTTGGGGAGATTGATTGTATGTTAAATATGCTATTTTCACTTACCCATGTTTCCTCTATACTTCCAACAGCTATTCTAAGCAAACTGCAATGACTAAACTTGCAACAGCTACTCTGTTACTCTTCTCCCTTACAAATCACCCTTTTGCCCTCCTCCTTTCCCTGTTTTACATTCTTAAGGTGATGTCGATAACATTCGAGGGCGCTCTTCCCTGGCTTAGGAAAAGGTACCTTGCGTGGGGTATAAAGCTGGTCACTCAGCTACATAGAAAATTTGCCGGTTGAAAAGGATAAGGTTATTTCATTACTTTTAACTCCCAAGCTGTCACTATGAGGAAGAGTAAAATGGTTAGGAAATTAAGATTTAGTTTTGTGCACTTGTTTGCAAGGTTGTGTTATGTAATTAGCACATCCAGAATTAGTTTCCATGTTATTCTGATATTTTTGAAAGCCTTTGGAATTTCTCAAGCATGGTCAGATCACTGCCTTTTCGCTTTCCATTTCTTAACAGTAGTATAGCGCAAAAACGTTTCATTATCTTTTCTTTTAAACCAGGGTTGCAGTCATCGTAGAAACGAATGCTGCTATTTTTACTGCATATATCTTTATTACATTTGATTTTAAAAGAAATATATAGACAAACAGATTAGCTCGCACTTATATGCAGTGTTTTTCTAATTTTCTGTTGGAATACTTAACAATGAAAATGAGGAACGAAATTGCCATTTTTCAGCTGCCTCAATTTTCATTTGAGTATTGTGAACTTGGCTGACTTTCTTTAACCTACGTTTTAAAAGTTTTATTTAACCAATTTAACATAGGTTATTTTAATAGGTTAAATAAAACTTTTTTTGTCAAAAACCTTAAAATTTAAGACCCCTAGCCCCTTCAGAATAGGGAGGAGGGACAATAATGGAGGCAGGAGGTGGTTCAGGCAGATGCCTGCAACTGTTCATTCACACATCTTGTAAGGTAGCTTAGAGCTCCTCAGAAGAGAAGGGACAGTCCTGAGGCTTTGAATAACCACAAAAGTGCCTCAGTTGATAGGGACACTTAATATTTAAACTGAAAAAACAGAGTGAAAGGATCAAATAAAGATGACATGGAAATAAAAACGATGGATTTGTATGGCCTGTTTTTTTTTTTGTTTTGTTTTTGTTTTTTGAGACACAGTCTCCCTGTTGTCCAGGTTAGAGTACAGTGGTGCAATCACGGTTCATGTAGTCTTGACTTCCCAAGCTCAGGCGATCCTCCCACCTCAGCCTCTGGAGTAGCTGGGACTACAGGAGTGTGCCACTATGCCTAGCTAATTTTTTTGTGTGTTTTTTTGTAGGGCCAGGGTTTTGCCACGTTACCCAGGCTGGTAGCTCCTGGGCTTAAGCAATCCTCTTGCCTTGGCCTCCCAAAGTGCTGGGATTACAGGTGTGAGCCACCGGCCCATTACTTTTTATGGTGCTCCCACACTTACCCAAAACTTTAGCACATCTGTCCCTGGTCTCACAGAGTCTGCCATCATTGCCCACCAGTGACTTGCTGCATTGCACTGCTGGTCCCTGATCCGGAATGATCGCCCAAGGCCTCTGACTCACGTTCTCACTGGGGCAGAGGGATTGTGGGGTATCCAGGTAGGAGAAAAAGCAGCAGAGAAGCAGGTAATGGGAATGGAAGCTGTGTGAGTGCCAAGTTGCTTAACTGGATGTTGGGAGTTATCTATTGCATTTCTGTCTTTCTTGAACTGCAGTTATTTTTGAATTATAATTTGGCTATAAAAATCATGGATGGGCCTAGGCGCTCACGCCTGTAATCCCAGCACTTTGGGAGGCTGAGGTGGGCGGATCACCTGAGGTCAGAAGTTTAAGACCAGCCCGGCCAACATGATAAAACCCTGTCTGTACTAAAAATGCAAAAATTCGTTGGGCGTGGTGATGTATACCTGTAATCCCAGCTGCTTGGGAGTCTGAGGCACGAGAATCCCTTGCCCGTGGAAAGCGGAGGTTGCAGTGAGATCATGACACTGCACTCTAGCCTGGGCAGTAGAGTGGGACTCTGTCTCAAAAAAAACAAAAGGATGGATGAATGTTTTAAACGAGATGTTCCTGATTTTCTCAGTTTTCTGTACTTGCATTTCAGGTGGTGATTTCTGAACTTGCACAATTTCAACCAGGCACTCAATCACAGGCGTATTGCAAGGGAGGGGTTTATAGGTCTGTGCTGGGACTTGTTCTGCACTTCTCCACCCTTTCCAGGAATGGAAAGTCAAGTATATGTCGTAACTTATCCCTCAGGAGCCCGGGAGCCTTACTTCTGACTCTTCGGGGGCCCATTACAGGAAAGCCTGACTAATTAGGAACTGGATTGAGTATGGGGTGGGGTGGGGTTCAGTGCTTAGTTATCTGTTCACAGAAGTGGGAAGGAGAAACCTGTCTACATTGTTTTCTTTGCTGGAACAACCATCCAAGGGAAATCTTTTAAAATCTTTCCCAGAAAAAGATTTTATTTATGATGGAGAATACTGATATTTGTCAGCCATTTATGTTTACATAAATATAAATTCAATGATTAAAATGATTGTCTTCTCCTAATCCAGTCATTCCCAATCTTTCTGAAGTTTCAGTACCTTGGCCACAGATTGACCAACGTTTGTATCTTTGTTCTTAACGTTTCCTAACAGCATATTTTAAACTAAACTGATGTAAAGCTATCTTTTCCTTGAATTTCTGAGAATTCTTCGACTTCTGAGGTAGTCGGTGTAATACTTGGGCTCTTACAAAACCAGGATTGGGAATCCCTGCTGTGGATCTGTCATCTTTGCTGTTTCTTCTCCAATATTCTTGTCCCTCACAGATGACCTTTCACCCCTCCTCGAGGTTTTCCGGTTTCTATTCTTTCTCTCTGCTTTTTCATTTCTAGTACTTCATATCCAGTAAGCTCAGTGCTTGTAGTGGATCATTCCCTTGAGGTGACACAAAACCTGTTTATTATCAACATGTAGTGAATTTTTTTCCCATTAAGATTGGCTACGAAATAAAGTGTGAAACATGCCAGGCATCCTGACAGTAAAGGTGAGCTCAGTTGCTAGTCATTGTCTGTTGCACGTCTGACTGGAAAATTGGAACGTCAGCATGTGCTGCTTGGTATGAGTCCAGTTTAAAAACCGATGATGACTTAGGCAATGGCAAGGTTCCTTAGCAGTTGCTTGGATCACAAGCCTAGACCTGAAGGTACCCTCTAAACTTTCTCCACTCTCATTCCTGTAGTAGCTACTGCAGCCAACCAAATCCGCGTCCCACCCCTGACTTCCCACGTGGAGCCGGGTGTGCCGGGTATACGTCACAAGGCCATGCCCGGGGTCGGGCGGCATCATGTGGCCTTCCCCGACCCACCCTTTGGCTCTGTCTGTCCCAGCCCTTCTCTAGAAAGTAGTGTCCCACTTCAGGTCACCAGCTGCTCTAGGGGCAGAGGCTACGCCCTTCCATGGACGCTAGTAACCAATAACGTATCTCAGAAGGGAACATAGGAACCGCATTATTTGGCTTTTCTGATGTTGGGCAGATCAGTGAAGGATGCTGTTGTGCTCCAGTCACTGACATGTTTCATAGAACGTTACCCCAGAGTACACAGAAATGATTCCAAAACATGTAGAAGTCTTTGCCTAGTAAGTCACTGCAGAAGTGCTGAAATCTGAAGAAAGGAAGAGCAGCTCATGAATGCTTATCTCCACATTGTTCACTGGGCTGTCCTAACCTCCCCTGCTCCCAGAGAATACCAGATGGCTTTACAGTTGAGGTGGTTCAAACGCAGAAGGCCCTTTTTCCTTTCATTACTTGCTCAGTTATCTGAACATTGGCCCCCACACCTGCCACCTGGCCAGCGCGGCTTCTGCCTCCCTTGGCACTGCCAGGCGGGGCTTTTCTTAGACTCATCCTCTGGGCCACCTTCAACTCCTCTCCCTCCCTCTGCATTAACATCCAGGCCACCCTCATTAGTCCTTGGCAACCTAGCTTGGGTTGGCCTCCCCAGCCAGCCTTCCAGACTGTTCTTTCTCTCCCTTGCAGCCTGTCTTGCACACCACTGTGACCAGGTCCGTCTGTCTGAGAATACCATTTCCTCACATCATGGCCCTGTTTACAAAGCTGTTTCCCATTTGCCTATCACATCAGATCAAATCGGAACTCTTCGGCTCTGGATTGAAGCCGACGCCACTGTTCCTGGCAAGCCTTGTTGCCCTTCGATCCCGGCGTTGGCCTCCGTCCCTGTCAGGCCTCGTATGATGCTGCTCTCTGGCGTCCTGCCATCTCCAGCTCTGCCTGCACGTTGCTCCTGCATTTCTCTCCACCTCATAAGACTCTTATTCCACAGCTCTGGCCAGGCCAAAGCATACATGGCCCAGTTAGCTCCCTTTTACTTGAAATATTCCCTGAGGAGCCCCTAGGTATTTTTCTTTACTCACCAGAGACTTGTAGTCAGGGCCACACTGATATCATTTGGGAATTATTTGCAAAGTCACAGCTCTGGACTTCTCTCTCCAGCTACATCATGAGTTTCTCAGCTAAATCACAGGCCCACAGTTCCTGCTGCAGCTGGTAAACACTTTCAGTCACGGAAGGAAGCCTTTTTCGGTTCTCAGCTCTGCCAAGGAACTTATTTCATGTACACGAAACCACCAACTGTGAGAGGATGGCTGCCTGTATCCTGTTCCCCCTCATCTTTTTTTTTCTTTAAAAAGATGGTAAAGCTGATTATAAGAATTTAAGTAACATGGCCCTAGAACTACACTCTGACTCTGAGCCCTGTGTCCTGCCCACAGCACCAGGCCACGAAGACGTACCACGTCGCTACCCTCACATTTGCTTGTAACTTAGGAGGCTTGCTAATAAAATCGATGGTAACAGTGGATGTACTTCTCTTTTAATACATTTATTCTATTTCCTTCTCCCATTTTCTTTATTTGTTGAAAAGAATGTGCTGATTGAGAAGCCAAATATTATTAACCATTTTCCCCATCTGTCACGGTTCTTTTGCACAGCACTGGATTAGGCCGGGAAATCAGGAAATATCAGGAAAAAGATTCTTCTAGGGAAACTCTTACTAATCTGAATTGATCACTAGAAATACATGGTCTCTACCTAAAGGACGCTTTGTCACTTAAAATGCCGAGTACTTGTCATAATGTAAAGAAACCTCCATTGTCATGCAACCATTTGCACCCAGACATTGTGCCTGGTTGCACTTAACATTTTATCATTTGATTCTTACACCAGCCCTCCAATGTGATGAAACCAAGGCTCCTAGGTGCTAAGTGACATTCCCCTAGTCATGCAGCCTAGTGGTAAAGCGGAGATTCAAATCTAGTTTTTGTTTTCCTTTGAGCTGGAGCTGCAATTAAAAAAAAAAAAAAGAAAGAAAGAAAAAACAAACCTAGGTTTGTTTGACTCCAAATCCTGAGCTCTCTACTGTGGGCCATCGTAGCCTCTTTTCCTGTAGTATTTGTGTGTGGTTTTCAAGGGCTAAGAACGATCCTCTAATAAGTCAGTGAAATTGCCACCCGTAAGAACAGCATGTCTCAGCCTCTGAGGCGAGCAGGCACAAGCTCCAGGTTCTGTGATGACACCTCCCTCCTGGTTTGGGGGCAGCTGCCTAAAGGAGGCAGCGTGGGCTCATCCTCACCCTTCAGGTGCTAGTCCGTGTCAGTGGGGCCTTACACAACTCTCCTTTGTGTTGTTGAGTCTTCCTCAGTCAGCAAAGTGACCCACAGATTATATTCAGTAAGACACCATGCTATGTGCTTAGAGAGAATTAAGCCAGTGATTAGGCCTGCCAGAAACTGGCCATCGCGCTGAACAGGTGAAACGGATGCATAAAGAGTAACAGGGCCAGGCTGGAGTGGTGTGGACAGGAAGTGCTGCAGGAGCTCAGGTGAGCGGGAGACCTCAAACTTGGGGCGTTTGAACTGGGCCTTAGAAGATAGGTAGGATTTGTAAGGCAGAGAGAAAGAACATTCCTGAACAACCATGGATGAAGCCATTGAAGGGCAGTGAGAAAGCCCATTTGTTGAAGCAGGCTGTGTGCACAAAAGTGACTTGAGAGCTGGCTCTTCAGAAGTGACACCAAATCATGGATGGGGTTATGTCTTGTGTCAGGATTTTATCTGAGGGAAGCCGCTGCCGGTGTGAAAGTTCTGATGAGAACGGTGTTCCAGGAGGATGGTTAACCTGCCAGCACTGTGTGAGTTGGGGCAGAAGGGAGAGTCTAAGGCAAGGGAGACCTGGGAGGCTGTTACAGGGCCCAGATGCAGGGTGTGCCTGACCCCCCAGTGGTGGCTGAGGGGAGACATTGCAAAGCATCTTTGTTATTTAACTGGATATTCTAAAGAAAATGGTAAATACGGAGGGAGAAGTCAAAGTTGACCCTGAAGTTCTGAGCCTAAGTCTGAGGATGCTGGTACCATTGTCTGCTGTAGCAAAATCAAGATGGGGACTTCCCCTGGGTTAAAAGAGTTTACCCTTTTCCTTTAATCTGTATGGTGGCTTATTCTGATAGAAAAGAAATTACTTCCAGGGGAAACAATGTTTTTCCATTAAGAAGTGTTCCGAGGCCGGGTACAGTGGCTCACACCTGTAATCCCAGCCCTTTGGGAGGCCAAGGTGGGCGGATCACTTGAGCTCAGGAGTTCAAGACCAACCTGGGCAACATGGCAAAACCTGGTCTCTATAAAAATTAGTCAGGTGTGGTGACTTGCACCTGTAGTCCCAGCTGCTGCGGAGGCTGAGGTAGGAGGATCGCTTGGGCCTAGGAGGCAGAGATTGCGGTGAGCCAAGATCCCAGATTGTGCCACTGCACTCTAGCCTGGGTGACAGGACAAGACTCCTCTGTCTCCAAAAAAAAAAAAAAATGTTCTGAGAACTACCTCCTCGTCAATCATGAACTTAGAGCAGTAGAGCGTATCACATGGTGATCCTAGAAAACTGCTCTCCTGGGTTCCAGGTCATACAGTCCAGTGTGGTAGAACTACTGCATTTACTCTGTGCAATAGGAGTTGGAATAGCGTGCTAGAAATCGGTGAAGTCTTCATTAAAATATTTATTTATTGGCCCTCAGTCCAGATGACCCAAATCTTTATTATTTTCTTCAGTAAGTAACGTTTTAGGGGAAAAAATTTAAACCACCCTTTTTTGGTGGGGGGACCACTACTCTCTTGGGTTATATTTGAATTTCAAAATAGGATGGTACATATTTTTATAGGCCTACTGGCTAGAAGTGGTACAAACAGATCTTCATGAGTTATAAGTGCCATTGAAGTGTGGCTTAAATGTGAATAATGGTTTGGTGCCTGATAATTTAGGAGATGAGGTGTATGAGTCATGTGGTAGTTTTTTTTTTTTGTTTTTTTTCTTTTCCTGACCCTTTTTGTAATTTTATGATGTCCCACATCAGTTAAACCTGAGTGGGGGAGGATACAACTTGTTTCTGCCTCTGGTCACTGTGCTTATGTGGTGTGTATTTGTGAATTTAGGATTATCGAGATTGCAGCCTGTCACTCCACACACACATCTGCGGCCAAGACGCAGGGTGGGCACGTGTACATGTGGGGCCAGTGCCGGGGTCAGTCCGTGATCCTCCCGCACCTCACCCACTTCTCCTGCACCGACGACGTGTTTGCCTGCTTTGCCACTCCCGCCGTCTCGTGGCGCCTTCTCTCCGTGGGTGAGCTAGTCACTGTCCATTTGGGGGATGGCCCGAAAATCTGGGAAAGAACTCAGGGCTTTACTTCGATAATGAGGATTTTGTTAGGTGCACTCTCATAATTTATTTCTCTCTGATGGGCTTCTGCAAAAGGGAACTAATTTTATTTTCTTCAAAGCATCAGAAAACAACACTAGTACTAAACTAAAAGTAATTTTATTTGACTGCTTTTTTTTTTTCTTTAAGAGAGAAAGATGGGTCTTGCTCTGTTGTCCAGGCTGGAGAGCATTGGTGCAATCATAGCTCACTGTACTCTTGAGCGCCTGGACTCAAGCAATCCTTTTGCCTTAGCCTGTTGAGTAGCTGGGAGTATGGGTACCCACTACCACGCCTGGCTAATTTAAAGAAACTTTCTGTGGAGGTGGGGTCTCGCTGTGTCACCCAGGCTGGTCTTAAACCGTGAGCCTCAAGCCATCTTTCTGTCTCCACCGCCACCAAAGTGTTGGGATCACAGGTGTGAGCCATTGTGCCCTGCCCTTATTTGACTGCTTTTTAATTTTACCGAGAAACTGTGTCTTTTACTTTTAGCTAGCATATTTGCTCAAATGTTTAAAATTTCATTCAAAATTAGTGATGTGGCTTGGGACTTTTTCTTATTATTTTGCCAGATTTATAAGCCGATGTGTGTGAGATTCTTATCCTTAATGATTACAGAGATGCATATCTGTCTTCAGGGGAAAAAACCGATTGCTCAGTTGCTTAGTTATTTTGAGGAATTTGTATTTTCATGAGCATCGGTAGAGCAGTGCCATACCGTGGCCTGCATGTTCATTATGTCTGTAGCTAACCTGGAAGCATTTGCATTATTCTCCTAGAACCCGATGACCACCTCACAGTGGCTGAGTCACTGAAGAGGGAATTTGACAACCCGGACACCGCAGACCTGAAGTTTCTGGTTGATGGAAAGTACATTTATGCACATAAAGTCCTTCTCAAGATTCGGTAAGGAATCATTTATTTTGAGAATTGAGAAAAATAATTCATTCAACAATTGTATTCTGAGTGTCCAACTCTATTAGGCACCTCAGTAAGAAAGAAAAAATGTAAGGCTGTTTTTGCTCTTACAAGCATACAGTGGAGCGGGGGGAACTATACGTGAAACAAGAAATAACACAGGTTGTGTGTGGTTCAGGGAATCAGGACCGTAGGCGCTCCTGAGGCCTGAAAAGTGGGGTGGTCACCTTGGCAGCAGGGAGCAGCCAGTGCACGCTGCAAATGTGTCCTGTGCTCTGAACACTGTATTGATACTTGGACGTCCATCAGTTACCTTCTCTGCCTGGGAATCAAGCTCAGCTCATAATAATCACTTTCTTTAATCACTTGTGGGGTACTTTTAGATGGTTTAAAAAAGAGAAGATCAAGGCCTTTCCAGACCAAAAAGGTCTGTAGTGAGGCTAGCACAGAGATTTTAAAAATCACATTTGTGAATGTTTGTGAGCAATGAGCTGTGTGCATTTCAAGTGTGCAGTTTGATGGGTGCTGACACATGTCCACGCCTGTGAAACTGCTGCCCCACATCCAGATAGAGAACATTCCCACCACCCTTCAGAGACCCCTCATGTCCTAGCCCTGGGTGACCGTGGCTCCTTCTGTCACTGTAGATGAGTTAGCATTTTCTGGAGTGTATTTAGATGGGATGATACAGGATGCATTCGTTTGTGCCTGGCTGCTTTCTCTTACATGATGATTTTGAAATTCTTTGTGTTGTTGTGTAACAGATATTTAAATCCTACCGCAGTGAGTCACAAACTCAACACAGCATTTTAGTCTCAAGTTCCTCTTTAGTAAGATCAAGCTATGCAGCATTTGTTCACTCTCTCTGCATCACATCAACCTGCATGAAGGAAGTGGGGTGGATTAGTTTGCTGTTACAAAGTACTATAGGCTGGGTGGCTTAAGCAACATAAAGTTCTGGAGGCTGGAAGTCCCAGATCAAAAGTGTCAGCCGGATGGGTTTCTTCTGAGGCTGTGAGCGAGAATCTGTTCCTGCCTCTTTCCTGGCTGCTGGGGGTTTGCTGACAGTCTTTGGCCTTCCTTGGCATGTGGCTGCTTAACTCCAGTCAGCATGTGGCATTCTCCCTTTGTGCATGTCTGTGTCCAAATTTCCCCCCACCTTTTTTTTTTGTTAGATGGCAGAGTCTTGCTCTATTGCCCAGGCTGGAGTGCAATGGCGTGATCTCGGCTCACTGCAACCTCCGCCTCCCAGGTTCAAGTGATTCTCCTGCCTCAGCCTCCCGAGTAGCTGGGATTACAGACGCACGCCACCATGCCTGGCTAATGTTTGTATTTTTGGTAGAGTTGGGGTTTCACCATATTGGTCAGGCTGGTCTCAAATTCCTGACCTCGTGATCTACCCACTGGCCTTCCAAAGTGCTGGTATTACAGGCATGAGCCACCGCACCCAGCCCAGATTTCCCCTTTTTATAAGGATGCCAGTCACATTGGATTAGGGCCACCCTGGTGACCTTCTTATAACTTGGTTACCTCTTTAAAGGCTCTCTCTCCCAGTAAGGTCGCATTTTGAGGTATTGGCCATTAGGACTTCAACATAGGAATTTTTAGAGGACATCATTCAACCCATGATGGAGTGAGGAAACAGAATTACTTAGATTTTATAAAAATAAACCCACTGATTTCTCTAAATGCTGACAGTGGTTGTGGTGTGAGAGAGATGCCAGGGAGTCCGGCTCTGTCCCCATTAGCACAGCCATTGGGGCTGCTTCCCGGGCCACCCTTGGCAGCAGGTTTGCATGTACAGCCTTGCCGAATAAATGACTGTTTGAGAACCCAGGCCAGCAAAGAAAGTGAGGAGCCACAGCAGGGACGTGCCAGTGTGCACCTTCGAGAAAAGGACGTCCTCCTCACAGTGGCCGTCTGTCCTGGCCGGGAAGCTAGGACCTGACTTGCTGCTTTCTTCCTTCAGATGTGAGCATTTTCGTTCGTCGTTGGAAGATAACGAGGATGATATTGTAGAAATGAGTGAATTTTCATATCCTGTTTACCGGGCCTTCCTGGAATACCTGTACACAGACAGCATCAGCCTTTCTCCTGAGGAGGCAGTAGGTAATTGCCAAAGACTTCCGAAAACTTGGCAAAATGTTGAGGAACTGACAAGGTGGTTTCTATAGAACCTAAAAGAAAGTTGCTGCGAGGGTAATTACAGAAGTATTTCTTTTTGTGTGTGTTGAATCCAAACACATTTCCCTTGTTACTACTTATGCAAAGGTTGACTGGACAGATAAGAGAGAGAAGGATCAAATCATCACCACTGTGGAGCACTGCAGGCAGCAGCATGGAGGAAGGGACAGAGACCGAGGGCCACGCAGCAGATCCCAGTGTCTCCACCAGCAGGGCCCGGGAATTCCACTTATTTCAGACTGTGGGCCCGAGTCCATCAAGTCTGTGCCAAGCGGCTTAGGAGGCTGGGAAAGTGGGCATTTCCAGATGGCCGTAGCTCAGCTAAAAATTCTGTGGTTTCAGTAGAAAGGAAGAATGGATGTGAGAGAGAGTGAGTGTGGATGTGTGTGTGTGTGTGTGCGCGTGTGCGTGTGTGTGTGCGTGTGTGTGCGCGCGTGTGCGCGCGTGCGTGCGCGTGTGTGCGTGTGCGCGTGTGTGTGCGCGCGTGTGTGTGCGCGTGTGTGTGTGCGCGCGTGTGTGTGTGTGCGTGCGCGTGTGTGTGTGTGCGTGTGTGTGCGTGTGTGTGCGTGTGTGTGTGTGTGCGTGTGTGTGTGTGTGTTGGGGTAGGGGTTGAGAGAGAGGCAGCTCGCAGCTTCTGCCACAGGAGAGATGTGATCTGTGTTTCAAACATCAGTTCTTATATTGGTTCAGGTGAGAGATGATGGTCTCCTGGGTTGGGGTTGTATAGCAGTGGAAGTGTTGAAAGAGATCAGATGCTAGATAATATTTTTAAGAGGTTGCTGATGGGATTTGTTGATAGATGGGATGAGAGGTGTGAGTTGAGAGAGAAGGATGGCTGCACTGAGGTACTTGGCCTGGGTAGCTGCCTTAATAGAAGTCCTATTCACTGAGGTGAGGAAGATGGAGAACAACAGGCTTGCTCTGGACTTTGAAAGTCAAAGGAGTTTGAGCTTCCCGTTAGATACCCAAGTGGCAATTTTGTTTTTGAGACGGAGTTTCACTCTTGTTGCCCAGGCTAGAGTGCAATGGCACAATCTCGGCTCACCACAACCTTTGCCTCCCGGGTTCAAGTGATTCTCCTGCCTCAGCCTCCTGAGTAGCTGGGATTACAGGCATGTGCCACCATGCCTGGCTAATTTTGTATTTTTAGTAAAGACAGGGTTTCTCCATGTTGGCCAGGCTGATCTCGAACTCCCGACCTCAGGTGATCCACCCGCCTTGGCCTCCCAAAGTGCTGGGATTACAGGCGTGAGCCACTGCGCCTGGCCCCAAATGGCAATTTTTTATAGGCCCACCCCTAACATTTGCAGGGCTCTGGCCAAGACTCTGAATGGAGACCTATGCTCCATATGTCTAAAAATTTAAAGTTATATGTCAAGCTAATGAACTTCAGATAAAATATGTCCAATCCTCCCTCCTTGAAAAATGTAATTTCATTAAGAACTGAAAGGACAGGTTTCAGTTTTAGTTGGCATTTAGAGTTGCTGGACTCCTTGGAGTTCTGTGCCAGAACCCAATGGCACTGGCAGGACCGACCCCTCCTCCGGCAGAAGGGTGTGTGGGCACCCTAGCTTGCATTCCAAGCTCTATCCACCCCCAACCCAGGTTACCCTTTTGGGCCAGGGGGTCTGCACATTGGTGGTGGGGTCTAAGGGAGGAAATACCCACACACGTGGCCTCAGGGCCAATTATGCAGGCAGTCCCAGGTTCCCAGGTACCCAAAGTGTGGTCTAGAAGTGGACATGTGGCTCCTTGGCCACCCTGTGCTGAGGGTGTGCATGGAGGAGGTGTAGAGCCGAGACTTGGGGCAGAGTCCTCTCTTAGGGCAGTGCCGCTTACGGGTGCGAATCTGAAGCTTGGGGCCAAAAACAATGAAGCCATTCACAACTCTCAAGATTTCAGTGTCCTCTATAACTTTGATAATATTTGTTATAAAAAAGCAAGTTTCCAACCAAAGTCTACCACATGTACAAGATTTATTAGCAGACAGACACAAAAACAATTAATATTGTAAAATAGATGAAATCCCAGCTCTCTATACTTCATACACTCTATTAAGTACCTTGCATGAAAAGTTAGCTTGAGGTGGACATGACAGTATTCTAGTAGCCGGATTCAGCTAACCTTTTGATCCTGGCTACCACTCATTTCGCCAATGACAAACTCATTCTGACATTCTTTATGCTAATTACAAATCCTCTAATGAAGATTCAGAAAAACAAATAGGGTCTTTCAGATGCTAATTGCTTCAATTAGAGTACTTCCTATCATTCCTTGGGGTAGAATAAAATTAATTTACATATATCACCTCACCCAGTCTCTATTGAATTACTTGAAAAATAGGTGACAGGTAATATAACAGGACTCATCTGCATATGTAGATGATATTTAAAACCCTGGGGCTGGAGTTCTGGGAAGTAAGTGAGAGAAGTATCTGAAAATTTAACCCTGGGGCACTCAAACATTTGGAAGTCAGGAAAAATGATTCAGCCTAGAGAACTGAGGAGCAACTAATTAAAGAAAAATGCAAGCAAGTGACAAAGTGCCCTAAGGAGAGCATTATCAATCATGTCAAATGCTGTATAAGTGTCAAGTAACAGGAAACCAGAGAATATGGCACCCTGGAATCCATTGTGACCGCCTCAGGTGTGATTGCAGTAGTGGTGGGGTTGGGATTCTGCTTGTAATGGCTTGAGGTCAGAATGGGAGGTGGGAAAATGGAGACAGCAGATACAGACAGCTCTGTCTAGGAGTTTTGCTGTAGGGAGGAGCAGTGGGATAGGGTAACAGGAGGCAGACACATATCTATGAAAAGGTCACCCCTCCCCTCTCTTCCCCTCTCTTCCCATCCCCTCCCCTCCCCTCCCTCTTCTTTTCTTCTCTTTTGTTTTCTTTCTTTTCATGGCGGGCACTCTTACAGCATGTGTGTGTGCTGCTGGGAATGGCCCAGGAGAAGCTGACATTGAGATTGCAGGGGAAGGGGTCATTCAAGGTGCACATGCTTTTTCTTTTTTTCCTAGGAAAAAATTATTAAAGCTATTTTCCCTGTGCTCCTGTTTTTCAACAGCTAATGATTTGTGTATCGTATTTGCTCAGCTTGGCTGCCATCCTGGGTAGAGCCCCACACTGAAGTGTTAGTGTCAGTCAGCATCAGTCTACGCAGCGCTTCACTGAGGATTATATCCAAAATACTGTCAGAATCATCTCTGAGTGGCTGAGTGAGTGAGTGTAAATCAGGATGCTTGAAATCACTCCCCCTAATAAACACATCTTTCCAACAGGACTGCTAGACTTGGCTACATTTTATAGAGAAAATCGTCTGAAAAAGCTCTGCCAACAAACTATCAAGCAAGGCATCTGCGAGGAGAATGCCATCGCTCTGCTCTCGGCTGCAGTGAAGTATGAGGCCCAGGTAAGGAAAGCCTGCTTCCAGCAGCTGGCCTGGAGAAACGGAACCGAGGTGCCTGCCTCATACCTTAAACTAAAATAAAGTTTGGGTAGAGGAAAGATTGAACATTTTTTTTAAAAAGAAATAACAAGAGTACTAGACAACATATAAGTGAGTATTTATATAACGTTGGGGTGGACATCAAAGGCAGAAGCCATAAAGGAAAGGATTTATAGCTCTGATTTAAAAAGATAAGAAACTTTTATCCACGTAAAAATACCATAGAGAAAATTAGAAAGTAGTGAGACACTGGGAAAAATATTTGCAACACATAATGAAGTCTGTTTACCAGAGTGAAAAACAAAAAGAGAATAGGAACAGTTTGGTTGAAAGAAATGGATCAAAGAACAAATGGCTCTATAAACAGACAAAAAACATAAATGAAAACAAGGTATGGCTTTTCCCCTGTCAAAGCAGGAAGACATTGTTTTGGAGACAATGTATAAGATCAGAATAATGGTGTTCTCCTAAACTACTGATGAGAGTACAAATTGATATGGAGAACAACTTGGTATAATATGTGTTAAGCACCTTAAAGTAAAGACACAATTCTTCAAGGAATTCACTCATAAGTATTTCTCTTGAGGAAGTAATCATGGATTTGGAAAAAGACTTAGCTTCAAAGGTGTTTACTGCAGCAGTTTATAATTTTGAAAAATTAGAAAAAGGTTAGTGTGAATAGTGGAGGCTTGTTTATAAAATGTTAATATCAAGAAATTATGCAGCTATATATATATATAATATATATATTAGATATATCACTAAGTGAAAAACTATTATCCTATTTTTATTTTTTAAAAAGGTATAACTAGCTGAATAAAAAAACTAAAGTTCATTATCTACACAGAAAAAAAGACTGAAAACTATGCTTAGTGGTTATCATTGAATGGTGGGATTGTGGATGACTTTTATTTTCTTCTCTTTGCTTATTTTTTTTGAACTTTTACAGTGACCATGTATTGTTATGATAATAAAGAAAGGAAAGAAAACCAATCTTAGAACCAAATCTTTAGGAAACAGGCCATAACATCCTCAAGTCAATTTCCTTTTGGTATAAGGATATCCTCTCCTTTGGTCAAAAAAACAGAGACATTTTAGTAGATGAAAGGTTATTAACTTTTTTTTTCTGTTTATGTAGATAATACTATGCTTATTAAAGAAAATTTGTAAAAGACAAAAAGTGTGAGGAAGGTAATGACTCATCAACCAGAGAACAGTAGCACTTTCATATAGCAGCTTCTGAGTTTTTGTTTTATGTCACATTATATATTTGTAAATACTTGAAACCTAGATTTTTTTTCACTTAACATTTTTTAAAAAAGTACTACCTCAAAACATTGACATTTAAAAGCACAGTGAATGTTTTATATCAAGGCAATAACATATTGGGGACTTACAATACAGAATGTTTCATGGGCAAACAAAATCCATGCACTTTTCCTAGTCTGTTCTTTAGCATCACAGTGATGAACCATGGTGGTGGAGGGCCATCTTAGATGTCAAGATGGTGCCTCGTGGTGTTTGCATCTGAATCAGGCTTCATTTTTAATACTTTTAAATATTCTCTATGTGAATTATTTGTCTGGCTACCTTCCAGCTCTCTGCTTTCTAGAAAGTAACCTCTTTGAGGCATGGCAGGGACTTTGTTTTGCTCACAACCGTATCCCCAGTGCCTAGGATGGTGTCTGATACATAGTAGGTACTTACTAAATACTTCTTTCATAGATGTTCAGTTTTGCCTATAGAGATGCACTGTTTTACTACAGCCTGTCCAGCTAATTGTTGTACCCTAAATTAGCATAATAGACTACAAGTAAAATAGACTGTATATATACTTAATGTAAAATACAAGCTTTTGTAAGTAAAGAACAGTGCTGTATTTGATTTGCCTAGCTCAAATAAGCAAGAAATGGGCTCTTTCCGCAAATTATTATCCCTCATGCTGGACTGTCACTTAGTATATAATTCATGTGAGCCAGGGATTATTCTAAGCACAGTTCATATTTCATTTACTCCTCAAAACAACCTTGTAAGACATAGGCATTATTATATTTGATCCAGTTTATAAATGAGAAAACTGAAGCTTGGGGAGATTAAGTAATCTGAGTAAACTAGTAAACTGCAAAACTGGAATACAGTCCAAGATTGGGCATATTTTAAAACCGCATGTTTAACTACAATTCTCCACTGTACTCAGTATTTTGAAATCAGGAGTATTTATGCATGGATTCAACAGATATTCACTGAGTGCCTGTTACATGCCCGGCACTGCCCTAGGCACTGGGGTACTGCAAATGAACAAAACAAACCAAAATCTCTGCCCTTGTGGGAATTTCTGGTGAGGGGAGACGGGTGATCAGTAAACGAATAGGATATATAGTATGTCAGATGGTGACAAGTGATATGGAAAGAAGGAAGCCAGGGAAGACAGCCTAGGGAATGCCATCCTGAGATGAAAGTTGAAATTTTAAATACAGTGGTCAGGGAGGCAAGACATCACTGAGCAGGTGACACAAGCAGAGACCTGAAGGAGGTGTGGGTGGTGTCTTCGGGGAAAAGCAAGCCCAGTGTGGATGGAGCACAGTGGGGAGGGAAGTAGCTGATGAGGTAGGGAGATGGAGGTGCACAGTGGCGTGTGTGGGAGGAGGCAGGGCCCGCAGAGCCCATAGGCAGGTTTCAGGAATCAGAGTTCCAAGGTGAGTGGCCATCAGAGGGTTTGGAGAGGAGCAGATATGATCTGATGGGCATTTGAAAGTAATCCTCCTGGCTGCTGTGTTTTGGGAGGGGAGAGAGAGAGAGAGTGTGTGTGTGTGTTTAGGGGAAGGAGAGTACTTTGGAGGCTGTATAATTCAGTAAGTGATGATGGTGGATTGGTCCAAGCTATCACCTGTGGGGATGGTAAAAAGTGGTTAAGATTTTGAATGCATTTTGAAAGTAGAGCCAACAGGATGTGCGGATAGATTAGATGTGAGGGAAGAAAAAAGATGACCGAGGAGGTTCTGGGCCTCAGCAGCTGTTAAGGATGAAAGTGGTATTTATTGAGCTAGAGAAGATAGGAGCAACATTTTGGGGGAAATATCAGGAATTTGGTTTTGAATATGAGAAGTATGTGATGTCTATTAGACATCCAAATGGAAATGTCTAATAAGCAAATTGGATAAGCAAGCCTGGAAGTCAGAGAGAAATGTACTGAAGTCCAAGCTATGAGGCAGTGACGTGAGACAGGTTTGAGGATTAAGTCCTGAGCACTCCGGGTGCTTAGAGGAGATAAGGAGACACCAGCAAAGGAGACTGAAGAGGAGTGAGCAGTGACGGAAGCGAGAAACCAGCAGACCGTTTCCTGGAGGCTGGTAAAGAAAGCGAAACAGGAAGGAAGAAGTCCGAACCACACCAGATGCTGCTGGCGGGTCTGCGGGGAGAGCTGAGAACTGACCAGTGGGTTTGCGGATGAGAACGCCTGGGGGGCCTTGGCAAGCAGTTTTAGCGCAGTGAAGCAGGGAGTCTGATCGGAGCCTAGAAGTAGAGGAACTGAAGATGGGGAATAGAGGCAGGTTTTCATGGTAATTTTATTATAAAGATAAAAAGGAAGAGGTTTGGGGGCATTTGAGGTAGAACATCTTTACTTTTTTAAGATGTAGGAAACGGAAGCTTGTCTAATGATGCAAATGACTCGGTGAAGGGGAACAAGCCAGTGATGCAGGGGACAGTTGGCTAGAGCAGGGCGCCTGAGTAGGTGGAGCAGTAGGATCTAGTGACAGAGCAAGGGCTCTGCTTTCTATAGGGTCCTGGACCGTTGATCCAGAGAAGATTGCATCCACAGGCCTTTCTCTAATAGGCAGCGAGACGTGGTGGGGAGAGCTTGTGGAGGTTCTTTTCAAGTGATTCTGGTTCTCAGTGAAAGAGGAAGTCATGTCAGCTGAGGATGAGGATGAGAGGGGAGATGTCAGGCTTATGGGGAGAAGTATGGGAGTCCTATAGGAAAATGAGCAAACTAGAAGAGTGTGGTAGGACTTCAGGACAGAACAGAGGGCCCCATTTTGAACATGAAGCCGCATGGAGTCGTAGCATTCAAAATAGACTACAGTTCTTTAACTGAAAAATAATGGGGGCCTTGTTTTATATGGACAGCATTCCCTTATAACCAGTACCCCCCATGCCAATTTATTGAATTCTTAGAATCACAGGCACTCTTTCCAAGTCCTGTCCTTAATTTAATATTTAGGGGGAAATCCCACTCTAGAATAAGGTAAAGGCACATGGATCCAAGCGATAACTTTTTAGGGCTTTTTCATTCTCCCATTAATTAGCAATTTTCCCGCTGCTGTCCAGATCTGTGAGGCGTCAAACTGCGCCTCCCCCTAATTCCAGACACACTCCAATGTGTGTGGTGTAGGTATGAATTTCTCCATTCCCACTTTGGTGTGCTGTAGGCAAAAATGCCATTTCTAAACATTTAAGCAACAGCACATAATTTTAAATGGATCCTTGGCTATTCAGCATGTGTCAGTGAAGCACATTTTTATGTATAGTATGCTGTGATGACAAGTGGGTGTGTGCATTTTCCCTGTGTATCACTGAGGGCTTATCTGGAACAGAGACATATCATATTGCTTGTGTGGTACCAACAGCCTGCTCGGTTATGTTCAGGCATGAAATAAGCATTTTCCTAGTATAGTTTCTTTCTTTTCTTAAAAGAAAATGTACCCGTCGGTTTATATGTACATTGGCAAGGCTATCAGCATTGCTGCTTTTTCTATTTTTTCCATCTTCAGCATTTGCTATAATTTATATGTCTAAAGAAGAAAAGGCTATCGTGTGTAATGTGCGTATGTAATTGCCTAGAAAGTATTTGGGGCTTTTTAAATTTTGTTTTGTTTTGTTTTTTATAAATTACCTACAGTAGCTTGGAGAGGAAACTTAAAAATTGACCACCGCCTAGCGGCATCTTGTCCTGGGCCAAGTAGCCCAGGGTTTGAGGCATATCGGAGGTCTCAGCAGCCTGCCCTCACTTCTCCAGGGCCAAAAAGCATCTGGTCAGCCTGATTCTGATTTTCAAGTTATAGTTCTAACCAAGCAAATTATTACAACGTTATTCTTTGGCCCAGAGTGCGTTACGGTAAGCCAGAAAACACCAATCTGTGGGTCTCTCTTACCAGAGCCTTAGAAGTCATGATTTCTTTAAAGCATTTTCCCAGTTGAGATTACTGAAGGCATATGTAGTGTGATCAAATCCATTCATCCCATCCTGTGTCGTCTCATAAAGGCAAAACGCAGTGACCTGTTAATGACTTCAGAGCAGCATTACTGCTTTTTATGGCTTACCTTTTTGTTCCACCAACTCTTTACAGACAGACATACTTAAAGACCGTGATACAAATATAAAATAGGAGTATAGGGCTTTTAGCGATTATTGAAAGTGAAATCAACAGTTACAAATACTGTCACTAGACAAAGGTACCAAAGAATTCACACACTCACTTGCCTATCTCTGGAAAGAAAAAGTGAGATTCTTTACCTAGGTTAGTGCGGAGGAACTTGAATGTTACTCTGTGCTATTTAAATTTTTACAAGCATAGATGATTCATATTTGTTACACTTTTTATGACTATTCTTTAGGTATTACCATACCATCATTTCCTCCACTTGGCTGTCAAATTCTTTTTCCTTGCCTAACTTGTTTTAGCAATGTTCGTGCTATGCTGCATTGAATTAGGAAATATAAATTTATTAAATTGTCTTTGTTGTTGTTGTTCCTAGGATTTAGAAGAATTCTGCTTCAGGTTTTGCATAAACCATCTGACTGTAGTAACACAAACTTCAGGTTTTGCAGAAATGGATCATGATCTTCTGAAGAACTTTATCAGCAAAGCAAGCAGAGTTGGAGCCTTTAAAAATTGATCCCATCTGCAGGAAAGGATTTTTTTTTTTTTTTTTTTTTTTTTTTTGAGACGGAGTCTCACGCTGTTGCCCAGGCTGGAGTGCAGTGGCGCAATCTCGGCTCACTGCAAGCTCCGCCTCCCGGGTTCCCGCCATTCTCCTGCCTCAGCCTCCTGAGTAGCTGGGACTACAGGCGCCCGCCACCGCGCCCGGCTATTTTTTTGTATTTTTAGTAGAGACGGGGTTTCACTGTGGTCTCGATCTCCTGACCTTGTGATCCGCCCGCCTCGGCCTCCCAAAGTGCTGGGATTACAGGCTTGAGCCACCGCGCCCGGCCAGGAAAGGAGTTTTTGAGGCTTTCCATTTCCCCTGCAAAAGCCAGAGATGAATCACTTCTCTTTAATTAATAGTATGTACGATGAGCTACATTTGGCTGAGTACTTATATCTGTCAAAAGAAGGATGATGGTGAGTGGTCTTTGTCTGCCTAAATCCAGAGTTTATGTAGAAAGCATTGAATGTTCTGATCAGATGTGACTAAGGTCAAAGAAAAAAAATGGAAATATTTTATTTACCATTTCCTCTTTTGAGTCACTTAAGTTGGACGCCTTTGGTACCCTGGTCTCAGTATATGCTATTCTGGCCCAAATGTTCCATTATTCAGCTAGCTGATACCACATAGATAGCTTGACAAGCAGTGCTGTCCTTACCACATTTTCAGCACTCAGCACAGTGCCTTGCGTATAATAGGCACTCAATGTATTGTAAATCTGAGAACAGCTTTAGTTGTGGAATACTGGGGGAAGGAATAACGTTCACAAAATAAACTTAAAACAGCCTGTAATTATTGAGGTTCATATTATTCTGGTATATCATTCTGAGGAATTGTGGCTAATTTAAAACATTGTTTAGAATTCACAAAAGGCCTTGGCAATTAAATTGTCAGAGGCCCAAGGGCTAATTTTAATTTTCTTTTTACTTGGTGTTGTTCATTAATTTCTCACATGGGATTATGGAGTATGAAGTAGTATCTTTGAATGAAATTCCTGGGCTGATCTGCCTTACATAATCATGTAAGGTCCTTTGCTTTTCTTTGTGTTAAGAGGGATTTGCCTCTGTAAATGTAAATGACAATGTGCTTTTCTTGTAGTTGACTTTCATGTCAGTATAAAATAGGTCTGTTAACCTGGCACCAGTGTAACTATAAAGCACTCACTGAGAAGCTGAGAAGGAACTGATACTTACATTTCATGGACAGCATGAACAAGAATGAGATAAATTTATACTTTTTAGATCAAAACAAATTAACTAATTACAAAAGAGAAACTGGAATGGAACATAGTCTCAGATTCTTCTAACGTGTATCTCACAACATCATGTAATGTAAAGAAAACCCTTTTGGAATTAGAATTCTTGTTCTGATGCTGAACTATTTGATAATAAAGTGCTTATTTGCAGATAACAGAACAAATGTGTTGGGGTTGTTTTTTTTAATCCCCAAACAGCAGCAAAATTATAAAATGTCAACCTCATGTATCTTAGATGCACATAAATCAGTTGGATATATTATACTCTCATAAAGCAGTTACTCAAATAAAGTCTCATAGTAAAAACCACCCTAGAGCACAAATAGCTTATAAACAACCTAATTATTATTCATATTATTGCCTTTGTCTGCTCTTTATTGGCAAGGTGACTTTTTTGAAGACTATTTTGTAAAGCGGTTTTAGGTTCACAGCAAAATTGTGAAGAAAACACAGTTTTCCCTTATGCCTCGTGTCCCTACACATGCACAGCCTTCCCTGCTGTCAACACCCCCCACCAGAGTGGTACATTTGTTATACCTCATGAACCTGCTTGGACACATCATTATCACCCACAGTCCATAGTTTACATTAGCGTCCATTGTTGGTGGTACACATTCTGTGGATTTGGACAAATGTATAATGACCTGTGTCCATCATTATTGTATCATACAGAGTAGTTTCATTGCCCTAAAAATCCTCTGAGCTCTGCTTATTCATCCCTTCCTCCTTTGCCCCTAACTCCTGGCAGCCATGGATCTTTTTACTCTATCCATAGTTTTGCCTTTTCCAGAATGTCATATCATTGGAATCATACAGTATATAACGTTTTTGGATTGGCTTCTTTCACTTAATAATATGCAATTAAGTTTCTACAAGTCTTTTCGTGGCTTGATAGCTCATTTCTTTTTAGTGCTGAATAATACTCCATTGCCTGGATGTACCACAGTTTATCCATTCACCTCCTGAAGGACATCTTGGTTGCTTCCAAGTTTTGGCAATTATGAATAAAGCTACTATAAACATCTGTGTACAGGTTTTTGTGTGGACATAAGTTTTCAGCTACTTTGGGTAAATACCAAGGAGCATGATTACTGGATTATATGTTAAGAATATGTTTTGTTGTTTGGGTTTTGTTTTTTTTTTCTAGAAACTGTCAAAGTGGCTGTACCATTTTTCCTGTCCGTGAGCAGCGAATGAGAGTTCTTGTTGTTCCACATCCTCGCCAGCATTAGGTGTTGTCAGTGTTCCATTCTAACAGGGTATTCTCATTTTTGTTTTAATTTGCATTTCCCTGATAACATATGATGTGGAGTATGTTTTCATGTACTTATTTGCTATCTGCATATCTTCTTTGATGAGGCGTCTGTTCAGATCGGTAGCCAATTTTTAAATCTTTTTTTAAATTGTTTTGAGTTCATTGTATATTTTGGGTAACAACAGTCCTTTATCAGATATGTGTTTTGCAAATATTTTCTCCCAGTTTGGGGCTTGTCTTTTCATTCTCTTCTTTGGGTCAAATTTTAAATCCATTATTTCTGTTATGATTTGGATGTGGTTTGTCCTTTGCCAAAACTCATATTGAAATTTGATCCCCACCGCGGTGGTGTTGGGAGGTAGGGCCTAGTGGGAAGTGTGTGGGTCCTGGGGGCAGATCCATTGTGAACAGATTAATGCCCTCCAGCAAGAATGGGTTCTGGTTCTCTTGGGACTGAATTAGTTCCCAAGACTGAGTTGTTATAAAAGGGATTTCAGGCTGGGCGCAGTGGCTCACACCTGTAATCCCAGCACTTTGGGAAGCCAAGGCGGGTGAATCACAAGGTCAGGAGTACAAGACCAGCCTGGCCAACATGGTGAAACCTCGTCTCTATTAAAAATACAAAAAATTGACCAGGCGCGGTGGCTCAAGCCTGTAACCCCAGCACTTTGGGAGGCCGAGGCGGGCGGATCACGAGGTCAGGAGATCGAGACAGTCCTGGCTAACATGGTGAAACCCCATCTCCACTAAAACTACAAAAAATTAGCCGGGTATGGTTGCAGGCGCCTGTAGTCCCAGCTACTCAGGAGGTCGAGGCAGGAGAATGGCCTGAACCCGGGAGGCGGAGCTTGCAGTGAGACGAGATTGTGCCACTGCACTCCAGCCTGGGCAACAGAGGGAGACTCCATCTCAAAAAAAAAAAAAAAAATTAGCCAGACGTAGTGGCAGGCACCTATAATCCCAGCTACTCAGGAGGCTGAGGCAGGAGAATCACTTAAACCTGGGAGGTGGAGATTGCAGTGTAGCTGAGATTGGCACCACTGCACTCTAGCCCGGTGACAGAATGAGACTCTGTCTTAAAAAAAGGGGATTTCAACGACCTTGGTTTCTCACCACATGATCTCTTTGTGCACGTCTGCCCCACCTTGACTTTCCACCATGACTTGAAGCAGCCAGAGGTCCTCAGCAGATGCAGCTACCCAATCTTGAAGCTTCCAGTCATCAGAACCATGAGCCAAATACACTCCTCCAATTTACGAATTAACACAGCCTCAGTTATTCTGTTATAGCAACAGTAAATGGACAGAGTTTCTCTTTAACAAATTGCTTAACCATTTTCTTCAGACTTTATCTGGTAGAGGCAAAGAGTCTGAGTGTCTCTAGATCTAAATCAGAATCCTGTTTTTAAAACTATATAGTTTTATTCTGTTGTTATTTTAAAAGTAGCATTATACCATTTGTTTTCATTTTTGCTAAGTTTGTTATTTTATCCAACAAAAAAACATGCAAACATGGCAAGTACCTATAGCATCCATTCTGGCCATTAGACAACCACAGTCTTTGTTTCTTTGGTCGCTTTCCCTCACCTTCCTGTGCTAGCTATAGCTGAGTAGGCTTTTATAGCTTCACAGTATCTTCCTTTTTCTTATTTCTGACAGGGTCTTCTCAAGCTCCTCAGTGCCTTTTTCTTTTGTGAACTCGTTTCATATAAAAATTGGAACACTCAAAGGGGAACAGATGAGTTTACCTGGGGATGAAAAATGGACTACCCTTTACACACTCCACCATAGGTCAGTAGGCATACTGCCAGAGTATAGGTTGTTACTCTGGACTCTTATCCTATTTTGCTCCCTAAGCTTTGTTTTGTGTAGGTTTGCATGCGTCTTGTCTCTGCACACAACAGAATAATCTATGGATTTTTTTTTTTTTAAAGACAGAAGACAGAGTGTTGCTCTGTTGCCCAGCAGGCTGGAGTTCAGTGGCGCGATCTCGGTTCGCTGCAACCTCTGCCTCCCGGGTTCAAGCAATTCTCCTGCCCCAGCCTCCCAACTAGCTGGGACTACAGGCATGTGCCACCACGCCCGGCTAATTTTTGTATTTTTAGTAGAGACAGGGTTTCACTGTGTTAGCCAGGCTGGTCTCGATCTCCTGACCTCAAGTGATGTGACCCAACGAAGAGAATGGAAAGACAAGCCACAAACTGGGAGAAAATATTTGCAAAAGACATAGGTGATAAAGGTCTGTTATCACGCCTGGCCAATCTGTGGGACTTTCACAGGATATAGATTCGAGGATTCTAATTCACTGTTTGTGTATGTGTTTTATATATATACGTGTGTGTGTGTGTATTATATATACATTTTTTTATTTTTATTTTTTGAGACAAGGTCTTGCTCTGTCACCCAGGCTGGAGTGCAGTGGTGTGATCTTGGCTCAGTGCAACCTCTATCTCCCAGGCTCAGGTAATTCTCCTACCTCAGCCTCCCAAGTGGCTGGAACTACAGGCACATGCCACCAAGCTCGGCTAATTTTTTTTTTTTTTTTTTAAGACAGGGTTTCACCATGTTGCCCTGGCTGGTCTTGAACTCCTGGATTCACACAATCCACCCACCCCAGCCTCCCAAATTTCTGGGATTACAGGCGTGAACCACCATGCCTGGCCCAAATTAAGTACTTTTTTTTTTTTTTTTTTTTTTTGAGACCAAGTCTCGCTCTGTCACCCAGGCTGGAATGCAGTGGTGTGATATCGGCTCACTGCAACCTCTGCCTCCCAGGTTCAAGCGATTCTCTTGTCTCAGCCTCCCAAGTAACTGAGACTACAGGCACACGCCACCATGCCCAGCTAATTTTTGTATCTTTAGTAGAGACAGGGTTTCACCATACTGGTCAGGCTGGTCTCGAATTCCTGACCTCAGGTGATCCATCCACCCTGGCATCTCAAAGTGCTGGGATTACAGCCATGAGCCACCACGCCCTGCCCAAATTCAGTACATTTTAAAAGCTCCACACGTAATTTGATGTTCAGCCAAGAATGGGAATTAGTGGTTTAGCCCTTAAAACTTCTGACACCAAACAATAAAGAAGAGCTAGTTTTAGATCTGAGAGATGACAGATGAGTCCTGGGTGTGGGTACATCTATCTGAAAAAACATGCTTTCTTTCTGGTCTTTGAGGATAGGCTTGCCATTGACACTCCTATGGGAAGGAAAAAGATCCCCTTTTAAAATTTTCCTTCTAACAGATGAGTGTTTGAAGAACCTTAGTGATATGTGAGAGAAAAGGTACATTTTCATAAGGACACTACTTTAGAAATTAATGGATTCTTTTCTTTTTGCACAAGTTTATCTTAGATTTTCCCAAAAGTTTTGTTTCCTCTCTTGCTCACACAAGGAAGTCGATGTTTTAATGCTTCTAAAATAATTGTCCACTAATTTACACAGAGAAAGGTTAAGATTTTATAGGAATGAAGAAGTGCCCTCATCTGCTGGTAGAGGTTTGTGAAGATGCCATGGAATTCGTTTTAAAAAACAAAGGTTAAGAATGTTCAGTATGTTCTTCAGGCTATAATTCATGTAAATTGCCAGTCATTCTGGACCTTAACATGGAGAGTTTTATTTAGAGGCTGGATTCTTAACCAGGAATAATGAAAAGAGGCAATTACAATCTTAACTATCTTAACTATAATCTTAACTGTCTTATTATGCACCCCCCCTTTGTTACATCAACAGAGTTGGGAGAATCGTGAAGAGAAAGGAAAAGATCAAATCTTACTGTTGTTTTTAATTCAACCTTTGTCAAAACACATAGAAATACAAAGCTTACCAATTTTCTCAGTAAATTCAGTTAAAAAGAACATTTTGTATTTAGGAAGTAACTGAGGTTGGTCTGTGTAATAAATTTAACCTT